CTCCTCGTACCAGGCAGATAGGTGATACTGGCCAGCAAAGATAAGGAAGGGTGGGATTGTCCAGCCAGCAGCGTTAATTGCAGCAATTACCGTCACCCACTCGCGATTGCCTGGTTGAACAGCCTTTGGCCGGCCTCTCCTCTCTGACCCAGTCACGACGAGCTGAGTCGTGATCTTGCCCATCATGAAGCCAGCCTCGTCAAAGTTATAGACGTCCTCATCGCAGATGCCGTACTTCATCTTCGTCTGCTCTACAAGCTTAAACCAGCCTTGGACAAGAACAGGATCCTCACACAGAGCTCTCTGCCTATCGTAGGCTCGATTAAAACACGTCGTAAGACTGTCTGTACGCTTGACAAAGTTGCGTGGCCAGTGGACGCCAACGCGACCTGCGCTGCGCTGCGCGAGCAGCGAATCAGCTATATCACGTACAGCTGCGTACGTAGGCGCAAATCCACGCTGATCTAGATGAAGTATATTACGCACAACCACTTCCTCTTCTAGCGTAGTAAGCTTCTTTGAGTTGGGCTGGCAATCGCGTCGAGCGGGCTTGCCAGCGCGTCAGTTACGTAGTGTTGATTCGACGACATTATACGTAGCTGCAGCACGGCTAACAGCTCGTATTTGTGATGTGCTAATTGCTGCAATAGCAAGCTGGATATCTGCTTCGTTTGAAGGCATTGAAGGAATAGGTGGTTGAGAAGTAGATGTCTACGTGTAGAGAGGTGCAGAAGGTTGGTGGGGCTCGCAACTCGCTTGGATTCGCAACTCGCTTGGATTCGCAACTCGCTTATAATCTATGTTACTCAACGCGGCCCATAAGAATCTTATCATTCAGCGAGGCTCCTTCTGCGACCGCATGAGACGATAGCATGTCTGGAAGTGATGTTGTTGGTATGTAATGACAGCGTTTTTGTCCACGGCCCAAACTGTCCAGAGGGGCCGGGAATCTCAATCTTGGGTATACCAGCCTCAGAACCCGGAATGTCAGCCCTAGTATTCCCCAAAGGCCAAATCCGTGAAACTTCAAGGGACGAAGGGACGATAGCCAAGTGTATACCCTGGAAGTCTAGACTTTTCCGGCGGAGATATACATTCCCACCGCTTGCAAGCCAATAGAAAACTCTGCAGTTGCACTCGTGCTCGCAAACTTCAATGTTTCTGCATCGGAAAGCGCCCGCAGGAGACGTCCATCGTGCATCGGCGTTCAGCGAACATGTGGAGGTGGAAAGGAAGAAAATTTGATGCTTGTTGGCATCTCATCTGCACGGTTACCAAAGCTCCTGTCCGCGGCTGACTCGCTCGTTTATTGGTTGTAGCTGGCAGCAAGCTTCACGATCGAGCTTCGCAGTATCCCATCTTCACAACAAGGGCAAACTTTGGAATGCAGAAAGCTGCGTGTGATTGAATATAGATCGTCAGTATGAGCGCATTACTCTCATAGTTACAGCTCACACGTGGTATAAAACTGCGTAATAGAATCCTTACAGCCCAGCATTTGTGATCACGCGTGAACCAGCGCGTCGGATTGTCAGCGCCTTCATGCACCCGGGCTGCAGGCCAGCAGTCCCCGCTTTGCGCCATTCGACACTGTACTTGTGGTATTTAGGACCCTGCTTTCCATACTTTTGTGCGCCACAGGATACTCAATCGCGGACTTTAGTTCCGTGGTGCTTTCGTCAAGGTAGTTTGGTCGGCCAATTCCGTGCGCCGAGGTTCCTCAAAAGAAAGATTGCGACGTCATACCCGGGTGAGCTTCAAACGCCAGCTGGAGAGCTTCTGGACTACAACTTCCGTTCTCATCTGAGGGCAATACATCGATATTTTTTATTGTAAGAGAGGAGGAATTTAGCCCACCATGTCGCTCTCGCAACGAGTGACGTCGATAGAGGAGCATGAGCCGTGGAGTAGAGAGGCAAGCCCGGACTCTAGGCACCGGAAGATGAGCTTCAACCCAGTCGGCACATGGACGGAGCAAACTGGCGAAGAGCCAACGATAGGCGCATTCGAAGTGCCCAAGTGGAAGAGACTGCGTATGTATCATGTACTGCATGGCATGGGCACACAGAAACTAATGTTGCGTAGTCCAGGTCTTACTCGCCGTTATCTACTGCCTCTTCGCCGCCGGTGTCGTCTTCGGTTACGCCGCGATAAAACCCGTTTTACTTGAGGAGGGTGTATACAGAGACTACTGCACAAAGGAAGAACTGGATCAAGATGTACACGTTTGCTACGAACAGGAGCTCCGGCTCAACCTCATGTTCACGATTGCCGCTGTATCCACGAACGTCGTCGCGCTTCCTGTCGGTACAATCCTCGATCGCTTCGGACCACGCGTGTGTGGTATAACTGGGGCGATATCTATAACGATTGGCGCATTGCTTTTCGCGTTCGCAAAGGAACTGCCCCTTGATGGTTATATCCCTGGATATCTGTTCATGGCGTTGGGCGGACCGTTCATCTTCATTTCATCGTTCCAACTCAGTAACACATTCCCGCAATACTCTGGACTGATTTTGGCACTTTTGACTGGAGCTTTCGATACCTCGAGCGCGATCTTTCTGATGTACCGACTTATCTACCAAGGTACAGATGGTAACTTCTCAATCAAGAAGTTCTTCCTGATCTATCTTATCGTTCCGGCCTTTATCCTTGCGGTGCAAGTTCTCTTCATGCCATCGGTGTCTTACAAGACAGTTGGTGAACTCGTTACCAGTGCAGAGGAGGAGCAAGTCATCCACGACTCTGACGACGAGATCGAAAATGCCACGACGGTTCGAAGCATACGGGATGCGCGACGAGCACATCGCGACAGCATCGTCAGCGAGATCACATCTTTGCTTGGCACCAAAGATGGCAAGAAGCAAGCCCAAGAGGAAGACAAGAAGAAGAATATCTCAGGTGTTTGGGGAGCGCTACACGGTCGCACCGCCAGCCAGCAGATCCGCACTCCTTGGTTCATTCTTATTACACTGTTCACTGTCCTCCAGATGACGCGTATCAACTACTTTGTCGCCACAATCCGGACGCAGTACACATATCTTTTCCATGACTACAACAAGGCGGTCGAGATTAACAACTTCTTCGATGTCGCACTTCCAGTGGGCGGTGTCTTGTCAGTTCCATTTATTGGTCTACTTCTCGACAACACAAGCACTACCTTTACACTATCTTTACTCGTCACCGTGGCGACAACTATTGGAGTACTGGGTGTGATTCCGGAGACATGGGCCGCATACGCCAATATCATCCTCTTTGTGCTATACCGACCCTTATACTACACCGCAGTCTCGTAAGTCTTCCCTCCACCACATTTTAGCTTCCTACTGACACCTATCCCAGCGATTATTCCGCCAAGGTCTTCGGCTTCGCCACTTTCGGCAAAGTCTACGGCCTCATCATCTGCCTTGCCGGTGTCCTTAACTTCTCGCAATCTGCCCTTGATGCTGCTACGCACAAGACCTTTAAGAACGACCCTGTACCTATCAACGTCATTTTGCTCAGCTTGGCGCTGCTTGTCGGTCTCGCACTTGTGGCATTTGTGTGGCGCAAGAGTCATAAGATCCAACGGGAGAACATTGAAGAGGAGGCTGAGGAGGCGAGGGAGACACTTATGCCGAATGCTAGTGAAATCAATGGATACGGATCGATGAATGGAAGTGGGACAGCGAGTCCTGGAGAGGAGGATAGAGGCAGGAGGATGTGAATGTGAGGTGTGTTTTTCCTAGTATCTAACCTGCTATTTGCGTTTTCTTTTCTCAGCATGTATGGCATGGCAAGGCGCTGGATGGATTTCTGCTGTGCGATTTTCAAGAACAGAGTCACGTATGAGGAAATGAGTCGCACGAGTTTTACCGAGAATGCTAAATCTGTTATGATGATAGCTCTTCGTTGTGTGAGTACCTGTGATAGTAACGATTCACTAAAGCATAGGCCAAGGACCGTTTTCAAACAAGATCAGGCCTCCAGCAGACGCAAGGGCACATTCTGTATCGTAATGGACAGCAACGCTTAATGATTCAAGGTAGAGACTATCTGACGAACTCGAGTGCATGTACCACCATTTAATTGTAGCCCACAATAGAATTTTGAACGAATGGTTGCGTGGATTGCGGTTATGTTTCAAATTTCTTAAGCGCTGGGGGGCTGACCACTGTGGTGTTGTGGGGCGCCACCTGCAGATAAGTGGTCGCAGCTACTCAAGATCGGCATCGCAGCTGCCTTGCACCATCATCTCACCTTTACGACACCTGAACGACGTCGCGATTCACCTTCCCCCCACTCTACCTTTTCCTACACGCTACGCATGCGACTACTGCGCATTCACTGGCTAAATCGACCTTGCTAGTCCCCGTCATCGTGGTTTATGGACTTTTGACTTGTGCTACACAACATCCTTCCAGCCTCAGCCTTGGCCGCCTTCATTGAGAATGTTTTGTCACTTTGACGCCATATGATCATATTACGGCGTGCGTACGATCTATATATCGGCAGAACAGCGTAGATCATCTATACTGTAGCTGGTTGCTAGAGCTTCGGAGCGGCCAAGATGGAGCATGATCAGCCTAAAGTCAAAGCCAACAAGTTGTTGAAGTGGCTCGATGACAATGGTGCCGAGATACACAGACAACCTGGATCGGAAAGACTTCCTGGACCGTTCGAGTGGATTCCGGAAACACCTGAGTTTCAAGGCTGGCTTAGCAATGGACCACCTACTCTGCTCCTTGTGGGACGATCCGGTTCTGGAAAAACCACAGCCGCGTCTCTCGTCGTGGATACGCTTCTGCGCCAGGACCACCTTGGACGTAGGGTTGGCGTTGCGTTTCTTCACGTGGGCACCGGGAAAAAGAAACGTAACGCGATGCAATTGATACGAAGCTTACTGTATCAGCTTGGACAGCGACTGGCTTCGTCGTACATACGTAGTCGCAACCATCCGCCCATGGAAGATGTCTTGGATATTCTTAGCGAAAGAACCCCAAACCCATCCCAGGGTGATATGGTGTCGCGAATACTTCCCAAAGTAATCGACAAGTTCGACCGCGTCTACGTTGTGGTAGACGAATTAGATCAGATGACCGAAAATCGTAGACGACTGTATTCCAGCCTCTTTGGTCTGAGAAATGAGAATCTGCGACTTTTTCTCACGACCTGTCACAGCCCAGACGAGCAAAGCAGGCTCCACAAAGCTCCGCAGATTCTTATCAGCGGCGCAAATGTTGGAAAAGACTTGGATACTTACATCACGAAAAGGTTGACCGATCTGCCGAAATACATTGGCTTTAGACCGACCTTAGAACTTCGTGTGAAGAAAAGAGTTATGGAAGATGCTAACGAATTGTGGGTTGCCATGTATGAGCTACGAGTTTGTCTAATAAGTTTCCAGGATACTTGCCGCAAAACTTCTGATGGACGGACTTATGAATATGAGAGGCGCAAACATAGAACCTAAGCTGGAATCCACTGGAGACCTCCTTAAGGAGCTCTACGAACGGTTTATCACAAGGCTTCAAGAGCTCAACGATACGAAACAGAACTTTGCCAGAGAGACTTTAGCATGGCTTCTCTTCATGAAGACGCCCATGCGAGAAGTCGAGATGCGATATATACTCGAAAGAGATCGTGATGGGTCTACTCTGAAACCAGCCAAGGCAATAAACTATGAGCGGTTCATAGGGCTATGCAAGGACTTCAACATCCTTATCCAAGACAAAAACAGCAATCGTTTTGTCATACTCTCACCAGCTTCACAGTATCTTCTGAGTACCTTGGATGATTGGTGTCCAGGCGCCAAAACCATGGTCGCGAAGCGTTGCTTAGAATATCTTGCCTTGGATGAGTTTAGTAAGGGTCCCTGCAAAACGGATGCTGAGTACGAGTCGAGATTGCAGAACTACAAGTTGTACAAGTACGCCGCGAGGCACTGGGTTGATCACCTCCAGGACTTGCAAAATGTACCGACCATACTCATCCGCTCATTCTTTATGGATAAGAACAAAGTAGCTTCCGCCAGCCAGGTCATGTCAGTATCAAATCAACGGCCACCGCAGTCAGGCTATAGTCAAAGATTCGACCCTCCTGAAAGTGGCTTACACCTTGCAGCACAAGTAGGATCAACTTCCGTTTTAGCTCGTTTACTTGAAGAAAAGCTATCTACAGCTCAGGAGGATACAAAACAGCGAACTCCGCTTCGGTGCGCCATCGAGTATGACAGGCAAGAGGCTATGAAGTTATTGAGTCTGGTGGATCGAACAACATTCACAAGACTACTGGAACGCAAGCAAATCTCATTAGCTAGCGCTCTAATTCGAGCTGCTGGATCAAGCATCAGGGATACGGCCTCAAATTCTGCTTTGCATATCGGTGTGATCAAAAGAGATATGGATATCGTTCGACTCTCACTCGAATGCGGCGTTGCTATCGACGAGAGAGGTATGAATGGCCACACAGCTATTGAGCTAGCGATGGGGCTTGGATACAGCGATGTCATAGTTTTGCTACTAGATCACTCGCCTGATACTTCGCGGATAACCGCACAAGACTGGTTACAGGCGTTCGGTAAGCGAACGCAGAGTAACGCACCACCCATAATTCATCTTGAAGAAGATGCGCGCAGAAAGAAAAAAATTTCTTTCCATATCGCGGAAGGTTTCCAGATGAAGCAGTTTCCAATGCAATATTTGGAGAGAAGATTGTTGTGAGTATTCGTCTAACTACTCACTTTTAATTCACCAAGGGCCACTGACCTTGGGTAATAGGATCTTTCCTGACTCCGGCCGTTGGCCTGGATATAATGGTGGAAATTGGAGAGCAGATTTCATGATCTACGCCTTACCCACCTGGCCTGCATACGGAATCTCTCCAATTCTCGACACACAATGGTGCTCAATCCTTGCTGGTGTACCCTCTGAAGCGCTGTCTGGGACTGTCAATGTCTTCAATTTTGAGTTCAACGAGTTGGCGATCAGATGGAACGTGGAGATACGTCCAGACCTGGATGGTAATGACCGTTGGGTCAGCATCGATCACTGGAGTACGCTACGAATGGGTTCAATACCAGATAGTGGGATGGCATTCATGGAAGACCTCATGAAGGAGCTAATAATGGGTTGGTTGGAGTTTTGTGATCAGATTGACATCTACCTGCTAAACTGTGTAAGTCAAAATTGCCCTGTACTGGCAGGATATAACGATTATCTACGCTGACGTTTACAAAACATTGAAGCGACTACGTGTACTCCACGCAAATGGAAATTCGCGCAGGCTTATTGGTGATCTCTTAAAGGATGCAACTACGTGGATTAATCTTCGGCGCGGGCATCGTGGCCAAGTTGACACCCTTCGAAACTTCTCCAAAGGGTATCAGAATAAGGTCTACAACGATCAAGCTTCTGACCTGGTCGCCGGCATCGTGAAAGATTTCTCAAGTACCATTCAGTCTCGATTTGATAAGTTCGACGAAGATTCATCTGCACTCATTCAACTGGTAAGCCTCACCACAACGTGTCACATGATATGTCGTTTTATACATCCACCTACTAGGAAGACAGAAACAGACAATATCACTGACTCTCATCCAGGAATTCAACTTGACATCTATCAGGGAATCACAGAAATCGAATTCGTTAAGCATAAGCATGAAGCGACTGAGCTGGATTACAGTAAGCCAAGAATGGGTGTCTTCTCAAACATATCTAACTTTCTAGTTCGTTTTTCTTCCTCTTACCTTCGTCTCGGTACGTGATACACCTGATCAACATTTTCTGGCAGGGTTCCGTTGCTAATTCCAACCAGGGCTTGTTTGGCATGAATGTCAATGTTCTCGCAGATAACCCACCATGGTGGTGGTACCTAGTATTTATGTGTGGTACATTGGGTCTAACAATGCTCGTATGGTTGATATGCAGGAAATTTCCTAAGGTAAGTGGCTGCGACGTCTCATTGAGCTAGCCACTTTATGCTAACAGGTTTCGGCAGTTGGAAGACAAGGTGGATGAGAAATTCTCCTGGCTTAAGCCGAATCGTGCTGGTCAAAAAAGAGGAGATGTTGAGTCGGACCCGTTGTTTCAAGAGAGGAAGGACAAGTGATGAGATGGTGTTGGTTAGTTTACCCTCAAATTGACGGCCTAGTACCTCCCACATTCTCGTACACCGTCCCTTCTACTGTTCATATTGTGTCGCATACATCCCCCTTTTGTTTCATATATGCAGGAAGTCTATTAACCTTTCACGATGGAAACCAATCCTGAGCGTTGTTAAATCGAAGCTGGCTGCCGCGCCGAGGGCCGGGCGAGGCACCGCTGCCCACGCGAGCGCCCGCTTACATTACCAAGGTTTGAGAAGTCATTGCATGGATGAACCGTACCGCTCCGGGTGACTCACAAGCATTAGTGAGTATAAAACAACTTACTATTTTGATAAATGCTTTCTGCACCAGTCTCACCGCGCTATCTTCAACAACAGTACGACTCTCAACACGAGTACAGTCCCCATCACCAATCTACTCGATACTACTATCTCCATGCCGCCCTATATCCAATATGGTATCTTCAGTCCGCTTTCTCACGACTTCCGACACCCATGGAGCATGGCCTTATCCATCATCCAACCCGGCGCCAAAAGTCGACGTTCTCTTACACTGCGGTGACCTAACACAAGTCGGCAGTCTTCCTAGCTTCAAACGCGCCATAGAAGATATCGAATCGGTCGATGCAGAACTGAAACTCGTCATCGCTGGGAACCACGATCTTGAGCTTGACGAGAGCTGGGTACGTGAGAACATGCCGGAAGACATGGCCGATCATGTAGAATGCGTCACATTCATGAAGGAGCAGGAGATTGACGGGATTCACTACCTCGACGAAGGCACACACACATTCATCCTCAAAGATGGACGACGATTCAGCGTATATGCAAGCCCCTACACACCCGAGTTTAACGGATACGCTTTCGCATACGGTAAAGAAGAGGATAGGTTCAATACTGGTGCGAACTTCGCAGCCGCTGGGGTCGATGTTGTCATGACACATGGTCCTCCGCTCTTTCCAGTAAATCCAGGGTATGACCTCGATGTTGGTCACGACGGAACGCATTGCGGTTGCGAGAAGCTTGCAAACGCGGTGCAGAGAGTCAAGCCGAGGCTGCATTGTTTTGGACATCTCCATGAAGGTCGGGGCGCCATGCGTGTTGGCTGGACTGACAATGAACAAAGTCAAACCAAGGTTCCATCGCTGAAGAGGATACAGGATGAAGGAGCGATTATCACGGTTGAGAAAGATTCGGCGGGAAGTGAGTCGCTTCTTGTGAACGCAGCTATGCATGGACCTGGAAGAGGCTGGCTAGTGGATCTCATGTTGTGATCATTAGGCACTGTTGGGGGATAAATTCGATTAGAAGTACAAGTCAGACATTACATTACTGTTTCCGCAACTTGCTGAGGGCTGTCATGATGCCCTCGGTCACATCTTCATCTTGTTTACTTTTTACAGCCTTCGCAGCTGAAATTTCAGCCTCGCACATGGCCTCCATGTCATCTTTGAGGTCTTCCGCAGGACGATGATCAGGTCGCTTGTCCGCGTCCGATCCGGATGCTGAGAAAGGAGCCGATCGACGCGTGGACGACGCGCCGTGCGTGATAGCTGTGCGCGTGTCGCATCAAGGAAACTACGACAAGAGCGATCGCATTTTCCATTTCATGCTAACAAATCCTTTCACATACAACCACATATGAAGCTCAGCAGTGTTTGGACGGCAGATCGTGGTTCTCCATCACGAGCTTTGTGTGTTGAGGGCGATGTTTGTGGATCACGACAACGGGCTGACATCCGCTGCGACAACAATTCGAGCGCATCTCGAAGCCACTACTCAGACATGCGTCGTTACTCAATTGTTACTATTTAGTTTTTACTCAGAAACTAGGCATCGCAAGTTCTTAGTAGAGAGCGCATCGGTCCGCAACCGAAAAGCTTACTCATGCTGACTGTACTCTTCATCATGATGAGAAGAAGCGACGTACCAGATGACTTATCGCGTATCTATGTCATACTCTAGGCTGTATCATAGCAGAGATTCTGAAGCTCACACGTTTTCTTGACCTTATCATTTTGGGTACATGCTAGTGTCAAAGGACAATCTTGCTCACACTCGCGACTTCGGCGGTCTGTCGAAACATAGAACAATCCGACTGTAGGTTGCAAGAGTCTGAGGGTAGTTTGTACCATCTTGGATTGGACTCTCGCCAATAGACTGACGATTGAATAGATTTCCGTCCAAGAACATGTCTCAAAATCAGTCCTACAATGACGACAAGCAGACGGAGAGCTCGCAGGACAGTTCGCATGAAGAGAGGCTATTACTAGAACCGCACAGCTTGAAGCTCTTGCCTTCCAAGAGTGGAGACGGGAGAAGAAGAATCACCTTACATGCTGTCGTGTTCCTACTTGCGATAGCAATCACAACCCTCCTCGGCTACCTCATCCGTCCATTCCCCCCACAACCACCACGCATGAAAACCCTTGACTGCGGCACAAATTCCGCCACCGCCCGAGCAAACAACTGCACTTACGACGTCCTCTCCAACATCTGGGTGCCAAACCCATGCATCGACCACAAGAATCTAGACGACTTCAAGCGTCTCGCCAAATGGCAAGCGTACGAAACACGCGAAGCCAAGCGGCTCCTTACTGAAGACGAAATGGGCGACGTGGTTGCGCCAAATACTTACTTTACTGAGATTCGGGAGCACATGGTGCACTGCGCGCTCATGTGGCGACGGCTGCATCGCGGCTATCAGGAAGATCAGAAGTACCTTGATCTTCATGTGAGAGCGTTGACGCATACGAAGCACTGCTCGCAGCTCATGATTGATTATCTGGAGAAACCGAGATCGGTTATGGATCTCACCGTGTCGCAAACTTCACCAGGCTTTTCGGTTTGTCACCTTCCGGTTTGAGGTTATCGAGGGGCAGATATTGGAAGTCGGAAGGTTCGCAAGATTGTGTCGCTTCTGTGCATGCTAGATAGGTATAAGCTCATCTAATAGTTCAATACGCCACATTCTCTCTGACCAACCTCTCGACAGACCCGCATGTGGTGTGGGCGGTGTGGTCGTAGTGATAGTCTATGGAACGGTCACGTTAGCCGCTGTCTTTGTTGACCATGGTAATTATTGGAGTGTTGGTGATAGCAGTGAGATGCTATACGAGCACAGTGTATAGAATGTTCCAGTGTAAATCCTTCGGCGGTAGAACTTCATACACATGACATCCAGTAGAAGTGACACCATGCACATCAAGGTACTGCTAGCATGCAGCTAGGTGGAGGTAAAGATGTCCATTTTCTTGTTTCTACCGCCCCATTCATCAAAGTACAACTATCCAGCTTCCAACTCCTCCTGTAGCCAACCTTTCTCGCCTCAATCAAAACTCCATGCACAATAAAAAAAACCCCGTATACAAAGTTTAATCCGACCTATATTCCTTTCCACCGAAAACATGAATACCAATCCGCAAACACCCTAGCATGTCCCTTTCTTCCCAAGCAAAGATACTCAAGTCTCATACTCCTCAGGAAACCAGTACCACCCGGTATGGTAGTAAGCACGTGCCATTCTCGAAATCACATCATCGCCCTTCGGCTCATATGGGCAGTTTCCGACAGATCCCTTTTGCGCTCTAGCTTTTACAAGCTCCACGTCAGCTGATCGCGATCTCAATTTAGCATTTCTTCCACATACTAGACAAACACGTCCGTGTTTACCCAGATATGGTTGGAAATTAGGTTTGCCACATGCACCCCACATATCAGCTAGCGGTACCTTCCCAGTTTGAACCTTATTCTGCGCTTTTGTGCAGAATTCGTCGTTTCGTAGGTCATCTAGACCGACCTTTTCTGTGCAGCGGGCAGTGGGATCGTTATTGTTGGTACAGCAATGGTAGATTTGTTTGCACATTGTTGAATGGTGTACGTGGGGGCTACTTAGTGGATGCTGTTTGGGTCGAGCTAGTCTTGACTTATGAGGAAGATATTGTTTACTGTTGAAGAATGTAGTTGGAGAATCTTAGTGTCTTCGCAAAGCCTGAATGTATATTGTTGGAGTATAGTAATGAGTAAAGAGAAAACTCACGATATAGACTTTATACTTCGAAGGCAGTCATCCGTGTGAATGACTGCAGCGATTCACGGCCTGCAGTTTATTGAAGTGGGACATGATGAGGGGAATTGTGAGCCGGGTATGTCGCATCGACAGATGTGTTTGAATGAGTTCAAACAGCTCCATGAGCTCGAATTTAAGCTTGCCATGATTTAAGGAGAATGATAGTGAATGAGAAGTGGTGTGTCGGCAAACACTATCCGCTCGTTCTTGTGATGAGGCGGCATCAAGCTAACCGGTGATGACTACTAATTTGACAGATCTAGTGGATAAAAGATTCATGAGTACAGTACAAGCGGACAGGTAAACATTAAGCGGAATGCCACACTCAAGCACTGCCAAAAGATGGTGCGGGCGGACGGTAGCCAAGAGAAGTCCAACTATCAGTGCATATTTTGAACAAAGAAATGGAAGGTGATATGATGACAGCGATAAGTCGCTCAGTAAGCGAGCGACGACGGAGTTAAAGAGTGGCAGGAATGACTGGAGTGAACTGAATCAATCATAGTAGCACACACATAGTATAGTAGACTCATACAATCGTATTTTTTATAGGGCAACTAGGCCCAAAACTATCCATTAGGATTATCGACATTCAATGTCTGAAGAAGAGAACAGAAATGATGATAGACGACTCCAAACTCCCTCGCAATGCAGACTATTTTTGCGTTTTTGACAGATGAAAGAGAGACATGAGTTTTTTGTGTTGATAGTGTGGTGGAGGAGGGGGAACTGGCAGACAGCGCTATTGTTAGGCGCATTCCTTTTTCGACTGCTGAGTCATTGTTTCTCGTGGTTGTATAAAAGGCCGGAGATTCTTGATGCTCAAGCCTCCTCGACGGTCTTGGCAGGCTTCTTCATGTTGTTCTTGTACCAAAGTGTAGGCAGAAGAGCGCAAGAAACAGTGAAGAGTACGCTGAGCTATGTTAGTACTCGAACAAGTACAACGAACACAGTTGAAACTTACCAAAGCGCGATAGCCATGCCCCAGACAGTCTTGGCCTGGAAGCAGTTGCTCCTCGTAACACCCGCCCAGTGGCCCAAGCTGCTCGTGCTCTTGTTCAGGTTCTCAACGGTCGCCGTCACGAAAGCGTTGGCGTACATCGTGTCAACTTCTGCGGAAGACTTGCCGATGACATAGCAGTTGAGGAAGGACATGGGTTTGCCCAGAGTGACAGCGCACACGATGAAGGCGATGAGGATTAGGGAGTCGACGCCTGTCATGACGAGGAGACCGAGGTTGGCTTGCGACCAGTAGTAGCCTACGCTGACCATGATGTAGAGGGCTGCGATACATGTCTGAGAAAGCATGTTAGAAATGGAGTAGGAATCGAGAAGCGATATGTGTACTTACCACGCTCAGTGTGCCGACGAACTCTTTGGGGGGCTCGACACCGGTTGTGACGATCATTTGAATGAAGTTGGAGCAGATGCCGATGATTAGGATCATGCAGATCGCCTGGAGGACGCGAGCGCCAAGGAACATCTTGCTCAAAGGCATGGCGTTGTAGCTTGGGACAGCCATGTTGGCGGACTAAAGTTGGATGTTGTAGGGTGGGTGTGGCTAAGGATCCGATGGAGATTGAAGTAGGCAGACGAAGCGATTGATGCAGCAAGGAATGGATAGCAGTCTGCACAGCAGAAGAGAGAGTGTCGTAGTAGGAAAGACCGTTGAATAAATGAGACCCAGATAGGAAACAAGGAAATAAGGAAACAAGAGGAAAAAAAGACGAAAAGAGAAGTGAGTTGTGATGAGCTGGTTGATGATGTGTTTGATGATGTTACTACGACGCTACGTCCAGCTCATCTTATACAGGTGAGAGTTGTATGCCATCTCAACAACATGTCGAAAAGAGTAAGGTCGAAATCGCTGCTATTCTTGCTCATCGTGTGTCTGGACCACAGTGGTTTCATGGCATCTCGAGTAGTCGCTGCATGGGCCAATCAGCGTCGAGAAGCGGCACTTTCAGAAAATGTCCGAGCTGGCGCGCATCAGTGCGCCAGCGGTTACCGCATTGACAATCCAGGCCACCAAGTCTGGGGAAGCCATTCAGGTACATAGAATCACAGCGGTACCTGAAGAATGTGGATCTGCAGTTTGATCTCAGAATCGACTGGGTGAGAGGTTCTGTAGCGGCTGTCGCTTTACTTCCGCGGTCCCACATCGACCTCCCGCCCTACCTCGCGCGCGGGAGCTATCTGTTGAGGCTCAATCAGATGCGAGGAAAGTTGAAACATTGTTTGGGAGAACAGTTCTGTGCTTTGGTGATGGCGTTGCTGAAGAGACGCGTGTGGTGATGAGAGGACAGCGAGACTACATGCGTCAATGCTTTGCTATGGAGTTGGTGGTACCTCGTTGGTATTGGTTAGCTGATCTTTGCGTCCGATTCAGATAGGTCTTCGCGTCAAACGTAGGAAGTGAGGCTTCAGTGATGCAGAGTTGTGCTGGGTGCCTGATGGCTGTCATAGTGCAGCGCTCCCGCCATACAGACCTACCGTACATGATGCTGTCAGTAACAAGTCGTTGAAGGTCATACCGGCTACCATATAGTGAGAATCTATGTGCAAAGGCCGAGAGTGGGGGCTGTCTCTTGTCGTAAGGCGTGGTGTTGATACAGGGCGTGTATTGACAAGTCGGTGATAAGAGCTCCCCGCCGGGAAGCTCAATCCACCTCGGGTCAGCTCCGAAGCGGCAGGTCCACGCGACACAGCTCCCAGATAGCAAGACGCATAATCGCGGCTCTCAGAAGACATGTGACTGGTAACCGTTCCCGAGGGTTCATTGAGCTCTTCTTTTGACTTTGGGTTCGATGACTGCTTCGTCTTCACAATTCCACTTACAAGATGGGTCTTTCGGAATACTGGCAACACAAAGCCGACTGGTGAGTTGCTCCAAGCTTCCTGCCAACCCCACACAATCCCGCCGACGCGACAAGCTAACTCTCCACCACCAGCAAGCGCAAGCAGTCGGATCGCGCTTCTAAGATCGCGACACTTCCCACACCATACCTGTACCCTCTGTCCTCACAAGAACGCTCCATCCTCGGCAAACCCATCCAGGAGCTCGTCCAAGATGTCCACAAGCAAATCACCAGCCCCGTCGATATCCTGCGCACATACGGCAAAGTCGCGATAAAGGCACAGGAGAAGACGAATTGCGTGACAGAGATACTCTTCCCTGAAGCCGAGGAGTGGGCAGAGAAGGAGGTGAATCTCAAAGGACCACTTGCCGGCATTCCTGTCTCGTTGAAGGACTCAATACAAGTCAAGGGCTTCGATATCTCGGTCGGCTATTCGAGGAACGTTGGGAAACCTGCTACAGAAGATGGAGTCATGGTGAAGATATTAAAGGATGCTGGCGCCGTGCCTTTCGTCAAGACCAACCTGCCTACCACGCTTCTTTCGTTCGAATCCACAAACGACGTTTGGGGTCAATGCAAGAACCCACACAACGACAAATACTCGCCAGGCGGCTCGACGGGCGGAGAATCCGCACTGCTGGCGTTTGGTGGTAGTCGCATTGGCATCGGCTCAGATGTCGCTGGCTCGGTCCGCGCCCCTGCCCACTTCTCTGGCTGCTACTCGATACGATGTTCGACGGGACGATGGCCAAAAGTGGGCATGAACACAAGTATGGCGGGTCAGGAAGCTATACCCTCCGTCTTCAGCCCTATGGCACGAACACTAAACGACTTGACGTACTTTACACGCAGCTTCATCCAGATGAAGCCTTGGAAATACGACTACACTGTCCATCCACTGGAGTGGAGGGAAGACATTGAGACAGAGTTCAAGGAGAAGAAGAAGCTGCGCATAGGCGTGATGCGAACTGATCACGTCGCCGACCCTTCACCAGCATGCGCGCGTGCTCTAGATCAGACAGCCAAAGCACTCGCAGCGGAAGGCCATGAAGTCTTTGATGTTGATCCACCGTCACCGTATGAGGCATTGCAACTGGCATCCCAACTCCTCCTCAGTGATGGCGGCAACACATTCATGAGCCATTTCCGCACTGGAGAATGGAATGATCTTGGTGCAGCGCAGTTAGTCTACTACATGCGCCTCCCTCGCTTCATCAAGTACATGCACTACCTGTACGTGAAATACGTCAAGGGCGATGATATTTGGGCTGGCCTGCTACGTGACTGGCATCCAAAATCCGCACACGAGTACTGGCAGCTCGCCGGCAAGCGCGAGGCTTTCAAGGCAAACTTCTACAAGTGGTGGTCTGAGGAGGCTGACATGGATGTTATGCTCACCCCACCTAACGCGACGCCTGCCGTGCCTCATGGTGGTATGCATGATGCAGTCAGTAGCTGTGGTTACACTTTCATGTTCAACCTGGTAGGTCTTTCTCGTGCTCGAAATTACCTACTACTTTCCTTTACTAACGGAATAAAGCTCGATTATTCTTCTGGAATCATCCCCGTGACACATGTCGATCCTGTCAAAGACGCCTTGCCATCAGACTTCAGCTTCAAGAAGCTAAATGGTGTCGCACAAGGAGCGTACAAGCACTACGACGCGCAGAAGATGGCCGGCCTGCCCGTGGCTGTGCAGGTTGTAGGAAGGAGGCTCGAAGAGGAGAAGGTACTGGCTGTCATGGAGAGGGTGGAAGATGCACTAGATAAGCATGGCGGACGATACCAATTGCTCGAAGTAGATTGAAGACGATCTTGATGAATAAATTTACTCTCATCGACTCTTTTCTTTGAACGGGCATACGATGACACTTGGCAAGCCGTTGTTCGACAGTCCCAAACATACCATCGCTATCGTATAATTTGAAATCCAACACTAGTCTCGCCACGTCATGCCCGAACTCCAGCTCGTTTCGAGACGCCGGATCCGCAATAATGCAGTATCGAGCTACTCGGCTGTGTTGTAAATGCCCCGCTTACGTCATTCCCAACCGCGTTGTTGATCGCTGAGACGCGCCTGGACTACCCCTCATATAGGCCCCAAGCTTCCCCCTTCTTCAAGTGCCATCTCTTCCGATTCTGGATAGTATATCCATCGGCACTCATAGTGCAATAGTCCGTAGCGGTTGTCAATGTCTAGTTCCCGACAATGCAGAAGCTTCAGGGCAACGGCAAACAACGGCGTCTATTCCGACATGATGATAGCAGGAAGCCTAGAACGTCATAACCAGACCCCATGTATCATGACAGCACCAGCACCCGCATTTTCTTGACAAATACCCGCATCAGGAGATTAGGATGCAGAGCGACCGCTGCTGATACGCTGGCAGTACCTTATTCCGACGAGGAGGGACCGGGCTAAAACCAGATGGAGGGGGGTCAATGGAATAAAGTTGGAGCAGACAGGACGCTGGGTCCGAGGGCAGTCTTTGTATAAATACCATCTCCCGACTACCCTGATGTCCATCATCCGATTACTATACCTCGGTCTTTCCTAACTCAATACGGAAATTCTTCTTGGACGGAACCAATCACAATGACGGATTTCAAGGGACACTGCCACTGCAAGCAGACAGAGTGGACTGCCACCCTGGAGAAGGACCAGCAGGCTCACATCCTCTGGTAAGTTTGCATCATTCAACTTTCTAGTCCTGGTCAGGGAATCAATCGAGCATTAGTAGCTAATGACCAACTAGCCATTGCAACACCTGCAAGGAGCTCTCTGGCTCGACATACACACTCAACCAGATCATCCCTCTCAAAGCCCTCAAGATCACCAAGGGTGACGACCTTGGCAAATACACGTACAAGGGTGACTCTGGAAAGAGCGTTCACTGCGTACGTCATCCTTCTTCCTTCCCTCTCTGTGACTTGTCGAGGACGTCTACTAATACAAATGTTTTGTTAGTTCTACTGCAAAAACTGCACCACACATGTATACCACCAGCAAGAAGTCTTAGGTCCTGATAGTATCGTACTCAGGACAGGATTGTTGGATGAAGGCATCAAGAACTTCCAGCCTGGAGCGGAAATCTTTGGAAAAGATCGACTCGGCTGGGAGAAGGAGGTTGCGCAGACTTTCGAGGTTATGCCCCCATCGTAGATATATCTCTTATCGTCTGGGAATGTGAACAAGATCATCAATACCATAACTTGGGCGCATCTATTACTGATGCTTGTGCGAACGTGCAAGCACCGACAAAAGTGAGATGTGTATGTCGTGAGACATGTCATTCTACATTGCGCATATAACGATCATATATCATATTCCAACACACTAGTCCTCCAGCGGTGGGAAACTCCTCAAGAAGTGGCTGGGGCACTCATAACCTCCTGGGTTGTTGTCCAGATACAATTGATGGTATTGCTCCGCATCCCACCATTTCCCCGCTGGCAGGATCTCCGTCGCAACACCACCCTTCCACCATTGCTTGTTCACCTTGTCGGTAACATCGCGCGCAATCTTCTCCTGCTCGGCATCGTGGTAGAAGATGGCAGAGCGGTACTGGGTACCAACGTCTGGTCCCTGGCGGTTCTCGGTGGTGGGATCGTGCATCTTGTAGAAGAACTCGAGGAGGGAGCGGTAGGTGACTTTTTCGGGGTCGTAGACTACTTGCAGGGCTTCGGCGTCTGCTCTTCTGATTAGCGTGTGTCGAGTCTCATCGCACAACAGGTGATTACGTACGACCAGTGCGTCCACTACACACGGCTCTGTACCCAGGGTTATCGCTATCACCGCCAATGTATCCAACGCGCGCGTCGTACAGGCCCTTGCCCTTGTACTCCCTCCGATACATGTGCTCGACGCCCCAGAAACATCCTGCGGCAACGGTCGCGGTTTGCGCACCCGAGGGTACGTTCATGGGCTGTGCGGGTGCATTCGACATACTGCTGAAGGGGCGGAAGAATTTAGTCAGAAAGGACATGGAAAGGTAGGAGAGGAAGATGAAGAGGAAGACTGTAAGGAGCTTCAGATTGGCGTAGTTTTGGGGTGTTTGCACAACAAGGGAGAATTACTTTGGTAAGGATAGTTTGTTGTTTTTTATGTATATAAGCGATTGGGAGAGTTTCGCCGCTTGAGATGGGAAAAGGGAATGGACCGCGGCAATGATGCCATCATTCTGGGTGACAAATCGAAGGGTCCCCGCCACCACGCGCGAGCCACATGGGTGGCGGCGGGGTAGTTGCTTCGCGAACCTTGCGACTTATTGGTTGTGTAGTTCTTTGACTACACAATTGTCGCTTTCATGCTGACTTTGAAAAGTCGCAAAGACCCATCCTACGGCCATTTTCGACGCGTCGAAGCCCTGTTGTATCTGGTGAATTTCGCGCACTTTCCGTTTTGTCCGTCTCGCTACGCGTCTTTACCCGGACATCAGTCATAGCGAATTCTTTCACGACCGATTTTTGAAGTCCAAGATACTTCCCTAGCGATAACGCGTCGATGTATAGGCCGGTTCTTTGGGATTTTTGCTGGAGCATTGCCCTTATTCTCCATTGCTCGGTTCACATTCGCAGCGTCACCTACAACCCGATAGAGCGCTCACGGACACACTCGACGCGTCTCGACTGAGCTGACATTTGGCTGCCCAGGAAGGTCCTGCTGTGGACCTGTTGTGGACGCGTCTGGATGTACAGATGCGAGAGCCATGGCGCGACAATTGCTGCATTGATGTCAGTGTTACCGACCAGAATTGCTCTTTCCCTCTCTCCTCTTGCTTGGAGTCCAGGCGGTAAGCTGAGTCCTGGCATTGACTCACACTCGTTACAGTCGTGTATAGAGGGATATACATCCCGTCTGTTGTTATCGCGCTCGACTGTAAATTCGAAAGCTTCACCCTCGAAGGCAGGTTCGGTTGACCGTCTTGGTCGTCTTTCCGACACGAAGCATGCAATCAATCCTCAATCTATTTTACCTGGCAATTTCACGCCGGTTGCATCCTGCGCTGCTGAACCGGCAGTAGTCAGGCCTGGGCTCACACGATGAATCCTCGGTCGTGGCGTGTTGCCGAGTCACCACGTGCCGCAAACAGCTGTCGAATGCATGCATCGTGACTAACTTTCCCGCTATTATTTTTAGACGCCTTTCTAGACTTCCAGGGCAGATATCTGCAAGGGCAGCAGATCGTATTCGCTAATATTGATTATGTCAGGGCCTCGAGCACCGATGGAACGACAAGCTTTAATATAAGGTTAATCTACACGCCAAGAGCTCCTCACCTCCCCAGATCTACGAAATGAACACAACCACGATATGCTTGCAATGCCAGGCCGCTCGTCTCAGAAAGGCAGAGTGTTTTCAGTTTTCGCTTCCGCACATCTTCCGGCACAGGGTTACGCACAGGATCAATAGATGAAAGTCAATATCAAAGCGAACCTTGCCTTGCTGTTCGGTCAGCTTCATGTTCTGCATGTTCCCAGCTTCCAGGCCCCGTGTTTCTATTCTGAGTTCGGTACCCCAGGCTAATATGCTCAGTTCATTTCGGCTTCATATGTATGTCCACTGCGTTGGCCGCCGACCATGCGAACAATGACTCGAGCGAATAGCGACTTGCTTGCGTGGGAGGACTTTGGTACACTAACCATCATCTGATATGTGATGGCCGCTGTATCCCCTAGCAATCGCAAGTCTGCTATCCGTATCCACTATCAAGAGGCTCTATCGGTCCACGCGACAAGTGTGCGTCTGTATCGATAGCTATACCGTCGGCAGTCAGTCCTCGGGTAGGTTGCATACACCGCAGACTTACGATACCTGAACAGCTGCCACGATGCGGGATGTAGTATTGCCGCGCCCGGAAAGCTCAAATGAACATGCCTCACCATCTTGGTTCGGGTTAGCATGGCAGCTGGAAGCGATATGCACAGCGGAACAAGTCTATCACACAACCCAGAGACTGCCGCTTAGCCCGGAGGCTGGCTCGGGATGTGTAGACACAGATTCACGCTACAACTAGTCGAAAAACACGAACTCACCTGAGCAGCTTTGGCGATTTGGACCTATGAGCATAAGCGGCCTGCCGGTCGGATCGTACTCGATATTGCTACGGTTCTTGGCAGCTGTTATCGCGCTCGGGTCGTAGCTGCTATCAACCAAGATGGTGTTGCCGCGGTAGTGGTTAAGACACTCAAAGGTGAAGAGCTGGTGCCGGAGCAATGGTATATAACCCAGTCCATACGCCCTTTGATGATCATCATCCAGCTTCTACTCTCGGCCTCATCTACTACATCAGCTTTGTACTCAGCACTCTCCGAAGATCATCCTCCGATTCATCAACATGAAGTGGCTCCTTGCTCTCCTCCCTCTTGCGGCTGCGGCCCCCGCGCTTCCTAACATCGAGCTTGGTGATGCCCCACCACCCGGCCAGGTACGAGGACTCCTAGTACATGTTTACGAGGCAAACAACTCACATAACCCAGGTCAAGATTCGTGGTGTCAGCTATGGAGGAACTGGTTGCCCTCAAGGCACCATGAGCTCCCAGATCAATGCCGACAGGACCATCATGACCTTGATCTTCGACTCGTACATTGCATCTATCGGCCCTGGAATCGCTGTTACAGAGCAGCGCAAGAACTGCCAACTGAACGTTGACATCCAGTACCCAGGAGGCTTCCAGTACTCCATTTTGTCTGCCGACTACCGTGGCTACTCTGCCATCCAAAAGGGCGTTTCTGGTACGCTCAAGTCGACCTACTACTTCTCTGGCCAGACCGAGCAGGTAATCTTGATCTCAGCACAAGCATCCTGATAAAGATTCTAATCCTCTTACCAGACATCCACCGAGTACAAGTTCGACGGTCCTACCAACGGCGACTACCTCAAGCACGACGAAGCAGACAGCACCTCGGTCGTGTGGGCGCCATGCGGCACCAACGGCATGCTCAACATCAACTCGCAGGTCCGCCTGACCACCACCAACTCCAGCGCCACTGGTCTCCTCACCACCGACTCGACCGATCTCAAGTTTACCCAAGTTGTGTACGTCCAGTGGCAGAAGTGCACAGCACCAAAGCAGTAGATGACTGATTGCGGTTGATTGTAGGCCGCGACATTGGATTAGCTGGCTCAGTGTGAACGGTCCGTGGGTGATTGACGTTGATGATTTCCAGTGGAGGAGGTGTTAGGGATGAGGCTGACGATGCTATGTTGGAAGCATGTTTCCCGTTTGCATGATATTCAAATCTTATTGTGAGATGCGCATCGCATGTTTTGTTCTCCACTTGCTGTGATGACCCACTCTTGCCCCTTTACCTAAGCTACGACAACAGGTACAAGCGCACAAGGCTGAAGAAGCAATGGGGATTATGGTAGTTGTATTGTGGGTCCCGTTGGCAGGACAGGAGAGATGTGGCGGATGGTGTCGCAGCCACGTCGGAAATTGTGGGGATAAGAGGGCGGTCTTGGCAACAGGGTCGTGGTTGCCGCATCCAGATCCCTGTCTGTTTACCAGCGGCCGTGCGTCCCATAACAGAAGTTCCGAAAGGAACATCGTCATTATCGACTCCAGCCCGCAACACTAACCCCTCGCTCGCAGTTCTTTTCTCTATACGCATTGCAAAGAGGCTGCGCAGTGCGATTGCCTTATTTTCTTACATTTCTTGGGCGCAACAATGGCCGCCGCGGGCGCGTCTTCCATCTCCGTCACCGTACGAGTCCGCCCTTTTACTATCCGGGAAGCAGCACAGGTCACGAGGAACGATGACCAGACGCTGTTCCTCGGAGATGGCTCGCTGGCGGGACTGCCAGCGCCAAAGCTCCACAAGGGCATCCGACCTGTCATCAAGGTCATGGACGAGAAGTGCTTGTAGGAGAGGCTTCGTGTCATCTCAAGTCACCGAAGCTAACACGATGCCAGAATCTTCGATCCCCCAGAAGACAACGCAGTTCAGCGGTTCGGACGATCGACTGTAGGTCCGCAGGGCAAGCGGTCAAAGGACCAGACATTCGCTTTCGACCGCGTCTTCGACGACACGGTCTCCCAAGGCGACGTATACGAAGCTACCACGAAGCCTCTGCTGGACAGCGTACTGGATGGATACAATGCGACTGTCTTCGCGTATGGTGCTACAGGTTGCGGAAAGACGCATACCATCACGTATGTTCATGTACACCGCTAGTTGCTCTGAGGAGGACTAACATGTCACCAGTGGAACATCACAGCAGCCCGGAATCATCTTCCTGACCATGCAAGAGCTGTTTGAGAAGATTCAGGATATACAGGATGAAAAGGTCACCGAGATCACGCTCTCTTACCTGGAGATTTACAACGAGACGATTCGCGACTTGCTGGTGGAGGGTGGCAGCAAGCAACCCTTGATGCTGCGTGAGGATGCCAACCAGGCTGTGTCCGTCGCTGGTCTCTCGAGCCATCGGCCGCAAAGCGTGAGTAACCGGTAGCCACTGCTCGACAAGCGTCTAACAACCCTAGGTCCAAGAAGTCATGGACATCATTGTCCGCGGCAACGAATACCGAACCATGTCTCCAACCGAAGCGAACGCTACCTCTTCCCGATCGCACGCCGTACTTCAGATCAACGTCTCCTCCAAGGACCGTAACGCTTCGGTCAACGAACCCCACACCATGGCTACCCTCAGCATCATCGACTTGGCAGGTAGTGAGCGAGCGAGCGCTACCAAGAACCGAGGAGAGCGTCTCACCGAAGGTGCCAACATCAACAAATCGCTGCTTGCTCTGGGCAGCTGCATTAACGCCCTGTGTGATCCCCGGAAACGAAACCACATTCCATACCGCAACTCGAAACTTACGCGATTGCTCAAATTCTCTCTCGGCGGAAATTGTAAAACTGTCATGATAGTCTGTGTTAGTCCGTCGAGCGCCCACTTCGATGAGACGCAGAACACCCTTCGATATGCCAACCGCGCGAAGAACATTCAGACCAAGGTCACTAAGAACGTATACAATGTCAACCGACACGTAAAGGACTACCTTGTCAAGATCGATGAGCAGAGACATTTGATTGAAGAGTTGATGAAGAAGCAAAAGGATTTTGAAGGAAGTGCCATGGTCAAATTTCAGAAGCAAAGCGAGAAGAAGGATGGCATAGTACGTGACGCGGTCGTACGCTTACGCCAGGCTTATGCGGATTCTGAGCCTGAACGCCGTGAGCGACTGAACATGTCGCGGACTCTGAAGACGGCAGAGAAGCGCATCTCGCTCATTTCGTCGTGGATCGCAGCGTTTGATAACGTCAAGGATGTTCGAGAAAACGAGGAGATGCCTTCTCAAGTTACGGCAATGAGGGACACCGCAGTCGGAATATCGGCAGAGCTTGAGCAGACGCGGCAACATTGCCATCGGCGATTGGAGCGTACCGTCTGGACAAGTAAGATGGATACAGCGCTGAGTGTTGGACTGAAGGGTCTGGCGGAGGTGGATGGAAATGCTGATGGCCATGACGCTGCGAACTTAACACGAGAGTACGAATTGCTCAAATCGAATGCCGACCGCGAATTACTCAACACATTACTGGATCAAGAACGAGGTGGTGATGCTGCCATCGTGCAGGCGCTGATCCAGGCGCACATCGAGACAGTCACAATCATAAGCCAGATCACCCAGATGGACGAGGCCCAAGCAGTTGAGGCTGCGAGAAAGCTGCTTACGAAGATTATGAATTCTTGCACGAACGCGACCTCGCAGGCTATTCGACCAGACGGAGGTCTGCCAATCACTGAGTTCTCCGAACCAAGTAACAAAGGAACACCTAAAAGGAGGAAGCCAGTGAACATTCAAGAACCATCTCAGTCCTCTCCCATGCGACCAATAGCAATGCCAAAGCTGTCGTTGCCAGCTATGGCGGATTCGTCGCATCTCACCTCGTCGCCTATGAAGTCATCACCACGCCGAAAGTTGATGGGAAGAGTGAGACAGTCCGGCATCCAGTTTTCGCCAATGAAGAAGAAAAAGTCACCCTCCAAGACTAAACGCGGAGTGCGCTGGAAGGATGACACTGAGAACGGTACCCTAGCAGAGTTCTCAGCAACACCACAGCAGGTAGCAGGCACACCAACAAACCCTGCCCTTGCCATTGGAAGGTCGCCCCCGGCCTACTCGACGACCTCTATCCCTATCGCCAGATATGATGGGAGTGGAAGCCGCGAATCTTCGCCTATCCCAACGCCGCCTAAAGCTTCCGTCGACTTGAAAGGCTCATCACGTTTCGCAGTCGGCGCGCTTTCCAAGCGTTCAGACGGGTCCCCTACATCTCGAAGCAACACCGCATACACCTCCGATTCCGACAACGCATCGCCCCTCCGCGAGATCGGCAGCAACCCGCGCTCATCTCTAAGCAACATAGAGAACGCCTCCTCAGTCCCAGCACCCGAGGGAAACAGCGGTGGTGACTCTTCTTCCGAGGGGGAAAAATGGACGGCTTCAGACGCACGTCAAATCAGCCATGCCATCAAGCGCCGTTCTTCGACCAACGGCGCTGGCTCAGTCCCTATAAACCGCGCGCATCGCCGCCGTAGTCCAACAGCAGCAACAACAGTTGGTAGTCCGCCCAACGAGAACTCACTTCTCTCCGCGGGTGCGGCGCGCAGAATGGTCAAATCCAATCACGGTGATGCTGACTGGAAGCACAGCGTTCTGTCCCCACGCGTTACACCCATCATGAAGGGCGCAGTTAGACGGACGACAGTCGCGAATGTCGGTGACGACGTTCGGCCGAGGACTGCGGAACTCGCAGTACCGAGTTTGCATTCGAGGGGAGCCGTTCGAATTACGAGTGGGAGTTCGTCTGTCGGCAGAGGTAGCTTGATGCCGAATTCTAAGAGCGTTTGGCGATGATTGTAATATGCCTCGGACTTTGCTGATTTGGATGTTTTAGGGGGTTGGAGGAGACATCGATGGGGCTTTTGACGACTTTTTCTTTCGTTCGATATCCGGCACTGGGTGTGTCTGTCTTATTGCGTCTGTCTTCATCCTCAAAAACCCTGTCTAGACGCATTAACGATGGTTTGGGTTCGGTGTTACTGGGTAATCTCCCTGCCCATGGCAGTTCCCTGGGCGTCAGTCATTGGGTTGCGATTGCATCTGGGGTGCAGCTTGTATTTGTATAGTTATTTGCGAGTACTGCAGTGGGTCTTTTGTCAATAGCATCACTTCAACTTTTATGATTATTGTCGCGTACTTGACCCTGATTAATGATGATAATTGCCTAAGTTCGATCGCTTCTCGCTCACATGTTGTCACACCAGGATATCCCCAGGGTCCATCGGATGCAGGAACCCGATTACATGGCGTGTATCATGATGCGTGATTCAGCGAGAGCTGGAAGTCCATCATGCATGTTCTCGGATTTCCATGACTCTGCAAACGTTAACCAGCCCGGCCAATCTCGGCTATTGGCCGTTGTGGGATCAGTACCGAAAAGTCGCGTCATCGACGTCGACAACGTACTGGATCAACTCCACTCGAACTAACATACCCCACATTCCGTCATTATTAATCCACAATGCCACGTTCTGGACGTCGGACAAGGGACGGTGGAAGCTTCCATAAGGCTGGGAGATTTAAACATGCTTAAGCGCCTCGTTTTCCGTTGGGATATCTTTGACCTCCTCGAACTCAACATCACGTCGTCCTATCTTAACTTTGACAACGTATCATTGCAGTCTAGTATAACTTTGTAACAATCCTAGAATAACACCAGAAAGAGCTATACAAGATGAAGGAGGCACAAGTAGCAAAGGACCTCAAGGTCACCGTCAAGGACGTCGCTGTCCCTGAGCCACAGGCGAATCAAGTCATCATCAAAGTTGTTGTTTCCGGAAGTAATCCCAAGGACTGGTATGTCATGTTCTTTCTTTCGTGTTTGCGCCTAGAAATACAAATAAATATCCAACAGCCTCAACTAATACAACCTCTAGGAAAATCCCCGCCTATGACATGAAACCCGACTTCAACAGTGGCGACGACATCGCAGGCTACGTCCACAGTGTTGGCCCCAATGTCTACGAGTTCAAGGCCGGCGACCGGGTCGCCTCCTTCCACGAGATGATGACGCCCGGCGGTTCATTTGCCGAGTACGCCGTAGGATGGGCGCACACTACCTTCCACATCCCTTCCTCCGTCTCTTTTGAACAAGCCGCCACCCTCCCCCTCGCCGCCATGACAGCGGCAATTGGCCTGCACCAACGCATGGGTCTGCCTGATCCCTGGACACCCGCCAAGGAGCCCACTCCGCTCGTCGTATACGGTGGCGCCGGCTCCGTAGGCGCATTCGCAATCAAGCTTGCTCAAAAGGCAAACATCCATCCCATCATCGCCGTCGCGGGTAAAGGCGAGAAGTTTGTAGAGGGCTTGATTGACCGCTCAAAGGGCGACACGATAGTGGATTACCGCAAGGGAGACGAAGCCGTCGTCCAGGGCATCAAGGACGCCCTTAAAGGCCAGAAATTGCACTACGCGTACGACGCCGTCTCGGAACACAATTCCTACACAAACCTTGTCCAGGTCCTCGAACCAGAGGGCCAACTCACTTTGGTCCTGCCAGGCAAGAAGTACGAGGGTATTCCGGAGAGTGTGAAGAAGTCTGAGACTATGGTGGGCACAGCGCATGGCGAGGACAGCGATTATGCGTTTATTATGTTTAGGTACATGGCGAGGGGGTTGGCGGAGGGTTGGTTTACACCGCATCCGCATGAGGTTGTACCTGGTGGGTTGGAAGGTGTGCAGAAGGGGTTGGAGAATTTGAGGGATGGAAAGGCAAGTGGAGTCAAGTACGTGTTCAAGATTGGACAGGAGTAAGGAGATGTTGTAGACAGTGGAGGTGTAATTGAGACGCGTCTCTATGCCCTATTGCTGGGCTTGGAACATGATATAACTTGGACGTTGAAACTATATGCCTGGTAAGAGTGCATGATAGTACTCACAACCAGTGTCATTAGTGTTTCTTGCCATTTGAAATCGAGAAGATTTCTGGAATGGTTTGCGTTGGTCGCTTGGTATTTTGTTGCTACGTCAAGTAACTAAGCTGCACGCCTCCTCGCGTTTTACGCCCTCGTCTCGATCTCACCCAGTCGCTCATCTCCGTTCTACAGCCCGTAGATACTCCCGCCATGCTCACCGGTCTGAAAGTTTAGGAGTTTCAACAACCACATTCACTCGCATCATCACACCCTTGCACCACCACAAAAGTCTAAACCCATAAACCACCACGACTAATCTGGTATACAATGCTTGCAATGCCGACCAGTTTGAGCGAAGAAAGATACCAGGCAGCCGATTGTTCGCAGAGAATATGTACGAAAAAACGTTGTTTTAGGTATGTCGGTATGCAGACAGCATTCGAGATACACACTAACGGAAATGAAGGCAAAACACCATAACGACACGGGCTTGCTCGAGGTACTACCCGTGGTGCGCGAGGAGCTAGATGAAGTTGAGGAGAGTTTCATTGACGATCTTACTTACCTGACTGCTGCCGAGAGAGATCGGATGGCGGGGAAGGACGTGGACGAGGACGAAGGCAAGGAAAAGGAAAAGGAAGAGGATAAGGAGACAGACGAGGACGAGAGAAACAAGGAGCAGGACGAGGAGAAGGCTGACGTTAAAGCTGTGTGATGAAATTTATTTCGATTGTTTTTGCTCATTGATGATATATGACAAAACAAAGAGAGGAGTAATATACAGCTATAGTGAAAACTCATAGCATATGCAACGAAATGAAGAACAAGCAAGACCTAATAGATCAGCTTCGCATCGTCCTTATGCAATCATCTCGAGATAAATCTATTTCCTCCTGTTCTGGCTCATGCCCAGAATTTGTACCATGCGGATGAAGATGTTGATAAAGTCCAACTCAAGCGAGATGGACTCGTTGACGGGGTCCTTGGGGATCAAGCCGGCCTGAGCCTGGCGTGCATGGTTCAACACCTTTTGGACGTCATATAGGGTGAAGCCGCCAAAGACTGCTAGCCCACCGTACAGCCAGAGGTTCTCGGTGACCATGAGTGTGCGGGCAGCGGTGGCTGGAACGACGAGGGGAGCGAGACCGGAGAGAGCGACGATTGCGACACCAGCGAGAAGTGGGCCACCGAGGTAGAGGTACTTGTCTGTCTTGGCGGTGGCGCCGACGAAGGCGATGGAGCCCATCATTCCAGCAGTGTAGAGACCGGCGCGAGCGAGGATGGCAGGGTGCATAAAGAAGAGTGGCGACAGAAGGAGGGCTTGGGTACCGTTGAAGGCAGTCCAGAGGGCGTACTTTTGGACGTAGCTGCATCTTGTTAGCATCTCTACTCTATTGTTGACGACCAATCTCTATACTTACTTGGAAGGCGAAGTGGCCATGGTGCCGTACATAGTTCCGATGCTGCCAACGAGACCAACACCAAGCACAAGCCACGGGTTTGCGCTCATAAGCCTGAAGCTCCATCCGTTCATGTGCAGGGCGCGGGCTGCGATTCCGATCATTCCAATACCAAGGCCAGTGTGCATGAAGGTGTCGTTGAGGTACTCGCGCTCGAATGGTGGCATGCCACCATCCTCGCGTGTCTCGCGATTGAAGATGAAATTGATCGCAAGCAGGGTGCCCGCGAAGATGCCACCTCCATACAGCAGACGCTGTCGCATATCTCCCTGCGCTACAGGGTTGTAGGCAGCCTGCTGGTATCCGCGTCGGAACGCTTGCTGGAACTTCGAGACATTTTGCGACGTCGATACCGTAGGCTTTGCGGGTCGGAACAAGTGCGGATGCTGCTTGAGTGGCGTGTTGTGGAAAGCGCGGAATGTGAGGGTTTGCGATTTCGGTGAAGCTTGTCGCAGTGTCGCCGTAATGGCGAACGGTCTCCGTAAGAGGGACGCCATGATTCGCGTGTGCGTCTTTGCAGTGTTGTTGGCGTTGGAGAGGCGGAAGGCGGAACGATGATATATGCGAACGAATAATGACGTTTTCGTTGGTGGAAAGCGCGAGAAATGCCAAGCCGCCTTAACTCGGAGGTAAGTCTCTCTAAGCAGGCAGCAGTTGCATGTCAGTCAACGGTCATAAGGAGAAAGAGACGTCAAATTGATATTCCACATGGATTGTTCTGGTCTATGTTCTGAGGTGATGCGCTCGGGTCGGGCGACGATAAGCACCGCGTATGGTGTCTACAGCCTGCTCAGCAGCGCATAGACGAGCCTGAACGGCGATGATCAGATTGAGCGTAATCGGCTTTGTGACTTTTCGAAGAGGTTCTGTACAGGAGCAGACTCTTGATACTCATAATACTGCGATGTGAGCTGTGCGTGGGTGCTGCTGGTACCAGTGGAATCTGCGGCAATGCCGTGATCTCATCGTCCGGGCTGTGCATCGATGCCAACCTGCTGCGCGCACTTCGTGGCGGGGTTTGGAGTTTCGGTGGCATAGGTACCTTGATCTTGTCGAACTCGATGACGTGCTCTCTGATATCGCTCACGGCATCGTGATACATAGTGGTGGGATCTGCTGTCCTGATGCGGGTGATCCTAGGAGGAATCCGGCGCTGTCCTGGCGTATACGCTTGTGGCTGCTCGTCCGGTGTGAGATCCGGAACATCATCCACATCTGGAAGAGGATGTGACGATTTTGGTATTGTCTCGAGCAGGTCGAAGTTGAAGTTGAAACCAGAGAATCGACTGGGTGACTTCCAGAATTCATTTGCGATAATGGGGGGACCAAGCATATCAGCATCCTTCTGGAATGCATCCCAGCTTCTTTGTGTTTCGCGGATAGCACCTTCTTTGCTTCTGATCTGAGACCGCTTGCGGTGTCCGGCAATTGTATGGCGCGGCGCAAAGTGTTCGATCTTGATTTGCGACGTGCTTTCGAGCTGAACAATTCGCGCCTGCATATCGAGCATTGCTTCTCTCTGAGTCGCCAACTCAGCCTGGACGCTGTGAATGATTTCAACCAATGTCCTATTCGTCTGGCGCAATTGGGATTTAGTGATTGATGCTTGAGAAGGCCGTCTCGATTTTGGAGTCCGTTGGTGCAAACTTGAAGACTCGTAGGCTGCGGCAATCGAACCTTCAGGACCACTCAACAGATCCAACATGGTCGCTCCAGAGAGGTTTGCCTTGTGACTTCGAGAAACATTATCGTCATGATAAAATGTATGTGCGACGGCGGGTGTGTTCGGAGAATTGAGAAAGGTTGCCATATCGATGTATGCTTCTGTGAAATGCCGGGAGCGACAACGGTGAAGTAAAGGAAATGTTAGCAATAGCAAGCATGAACGCCTAAATTGGTTTTACAAAAGCATTGCGATGTTTCGTCGTTTCTTCATCACCTCCAGACGCCAACGCGTTTCGCCACTATAGTTGACTTCGTGCGTATGAGACGCTGACACTACCGTGACTGCCGCAAGGGCGTACCCCGTACGGACTTGCTATAGCATTGTAATTCGTTCAACGTGTTACGCAGGTGTGGCGCTGGTTTGATCGCGTCACCGTGACTCTGGCGAAAGCGCTACCAAACATCACAAGACGCTGGTGTCGGGGCTGTCCTGGCGTTGTGGGTTTCAGCTGTAAAGGGTCGGTGTTTCGGCCAGGAGTACGGAGAGTGGGCCGCCGGGTACGGCTCGCTTGTGTGGGGATCAATGTGGACTAGTGCAATTCGTAGCTCAGGGAGAACATTCCAGGCTTCGAAGCACTAGGAAGACACGAACCTCAACTTACGTCGCTATACCTACGGCTACCAACTCCAATGTAACAGATATGTCCCTTACCTTTGTACTAGGAGCTTGGGATCACTATCTCTCCGCGATGATGCCCAAGGAGCCACGTCATGTTTGTAGACGCTCCGCCATCGCGTGTCGGCGCTTGAGGACGGCATGTCGGATATGCAAGACATGGAGCTAAGTGGACACATTCCTGTTCTCACTGTTTCTTCTCAGGAACACTCACGTTGTCTGCCCCCTTAGTAGCGTTCATATCAGTACCGCTACCAATAGCGGTGATCGAATTCTACACATGTCCCCGAATGGAGTCCTTCAGTCCATCGAGTTCTTCCAGTCGCCTATAGCTCACAGTAGAGGTATGGAAGGGTCGTTATCTTTCAACCAGAATGGTGATGCAGATGCACATGCAAAGAAGTTTCGCATCGGATGTCGAGATGCGAAGGAAGAGTTATCAAGAGCCGACAAGCATCGTCTGAAGGGTAACCCACTATGAGCAGGAGATCCGAGAAAGAGGCTCTCTGCAACCATATGAGCTGCACAAACTCAGTTCAGGATGATTAAGCCCGCCACTGAACCGGTTTGCACAGTCTATGGAATCGATTCCGCGCTCAAGAAGCGGGTGAGTAATTGAGCCACCTGCGAGTGCCGCTCTCAGGCCAAGTGACGACTGTAAACCATGTCACATATCGCAGCTACAAGGATCCGCTTCGTGCCTGGCACATGAGACACGCACACTCGGCATCATGAGCCCGATCCGTGCGACGACATTGTTGGTGCTGAGCAATACAGATCATGTCATTTGCTCCACCTTATAATCCTACCGGTCTTCATTAATGCACGCGTATACCTAGATGGTGTCTTGGCCGCCCAACTGTACATACTACAGTACATCCAAGGCCCAATAAAATCCAACCGCCCTCCTTTCGCTTAACCGAGGTTGGCTAAGTCAGGTCCATGATCTTCTGTCCCGGTCTCCACGCGCAGCATTCAACAACATCAGATCAAGCTCAAATCAGAAGGTAGCTAACGTAGCTATGAACACACAAAAATATTCGCTTCTGTATTCCCGAATCCATGTTCCTAGAACTAGATCTCTACACGGACGCATCACACCGCATTCAACTACCGATCACCACGCGTGGAGCCTCCGGTTAATATGCGACTGGCTCACATTAGCCACACGACGTCCTGGAGAGTCGTACCAAGACTACCATGCGATATTCCCCCCGCCGCCAAGATCGGGCACTAGATGAACGCCAATATAGCTGCGGCGCGTGTACTGAAGCGAACAATTGCCGCTGCCTATCACGACCATGTTGATTATGGACATCATCCTGGACAATCTGTGGAGAGTAGCACACAACAGGGTAAACCGTTTAGACTGTGCGGTGACGAGAATGGCGACAGCACAGATCCGTAGATCCAGAACGATGTTGACGGCACCTGCAGAAGTGACGCATCGGCGCGCAGGGAGCCAAATGTATAAAAAGGTCGAAAGCATGGCATGGTGAGGGTTGTCCTGGGACTCTTCGTGTTCACAAAGCATCGTCATCAATCATGGTTCAGCTCACACAAGCTTTTACCGCCGTCCTTTTGGCTACGGGTGTTGTCGCGCATCCTGGCGGCAACACCAACAGGGAGATCTTGAGGCGACAGGCTCATTTGGATCACCCGAACCGTCGAAGTGTTCAGGCATGTAAGCGGGATCTCGTCGAGACCGGATGGGTTCGTGAGCAGCACCAAAGACGTGAGGCCAGGCTTCACGAACTTCGGGTCGCAGCTGGTTTCGCAAAGGAACATGAACTCGTCCGCCGCGACGTTGCTGAAGTTGAAGAAAGCTACGGTGCTGAGGCAGCATGCACGCTCGACCCTGAGGCTACTGAAGGCCCTTACTGTAAGTGGAGAATCACACCTGACGGAGCAGGCTTGCTCACAGCTTCTAGGGGTTACTGGTGAGCTCGTCCGTCAGGATATCTTGACTGGAGAGAAGGGTGCTATCACTCATCTGGATATCAACATCATCGACACCTCGTCTTGCAAGCCTGTCACCGATGCTTACGTCGAGATGTGGGGAAGCAACGCCACTGGTGTTTACACCGGTGTTCAGGCAAAGGGTAATGGCGATGGCTCTGCTACTGCTATTGCGACCAATGCTCTTCGGGGTGTGCAGCCCACTGGTGCTAACGGCACCGCCACCTTCATCACCTTGATCCCAGGGCACTATGTTGGCCGCACAAATCATCTCCACAGTGAGCCTCACTACCAGCTTTCGCACATACATCGATGCTAACAATCATAGCCATCATCCACCATGGTGCTAAGCTCCTTGCCAACAACACCATTCAGGGCGGTACCATCTCGCACGTTGGCCAATTCTATATCGAGCAGAACTTCATGGGTCAAGTGGAGAAGACGTCTCCCTACAACACCAACAAGCAAGCCATTACTACCAACGCAGCAGACCCACTTTTCAACATGGCTAAGCAAGGCGGCGATGATCCAGTGATGAAGATTTCGCTCATTGGCAAGACCATCGAGGACGGTCTGTATGCTACTATCGATGTCGGTGTCAACCCCAAGGCGAAGCAGAACCCTCAGCCGGTCAACATGTGGACCGCGAACGGTGGCGTACCAGTCAAGGGAAGCCCATGGGCGGGATACCCCGACACTTGCTTGTACTGTGGATTCAGGCCCCCAAAGGAGAAGAAGGACGTCCTCTCCGAGGAGTAAGGTGACATGGAAAGGGAAGAACGATCTGTGGAGCGCATCACACTCAAAATCAAACAATGCTGTACATAGCTTTAGTTATTGAAAACCTAGCTGCAAGTGCGTAAACAACCATCACATGAGCCTTGCGATTAGTGCCGAATATTAGTTATGACGCAGGGTGTGCCAAGACAGCTGCCTAATCAGAAGAAGCTGCGTGGTTCCAATCTCAACACCACGCCAACACTTTTCACAGGCATAACTTTTCGCCATGGATCAATGGTTCATCCAGAAGGCGAGCTTTAGTAGGCCCAATTTCGCCCGACAAAAATGCAACAGAATCCTAGCAGATCTTGTCTCAAACGACACCTCGCCTGCATCTGCTGCGGAAGCAATCCTGGACTCCGTCGGCATGTCGTCGTCGAAGCCTGAAGATGAGGGATTTGACGTCGTGCGGTTGTTGCTAGAAACAGTAGCTGAGTTCTCGGAATCGCACGACGCTATCATCAAACTTCTTTTCGCTATCCGTGATATACCTCCCTCACCAAACCCAGTTTACAACTACCTCGCCTCGATACATCGTGAAGACTACGATGGCTTGTCAGGGTTAAGATACCTTTGGAACCCGGAAGATAAGCAAGCGCCAACACCAACCACACCTGGTGATAGGTGGGTCAGTTATAACGTCTTTACTGTGAAGCTGGCCAAGTCCGGTTTTGACAATGGATATTTTATCTTTGGTTTCTTTTGTCTTCGGCAGACGCTTGAGACGAGTCGACAGTCACGGGAGTTAGATTTTGACAAACATCTCCGCCCAACCTCATTCAAACATTCTGCCATCAATGCTGAAGAGCTCATGAGCTACGACTTGGTGGTGGCTGCAAAGTGGGTCTTGGTGGGGGGACTTGATATGTACAGGCGGGGAAACACGGTGTTCGGGAAAGGTTGGGAGAGGGGTTTGGCGGTGAAAACAGACTTGTGGGACGGTGAGCCAGGTTTGTCACGTGGGCGATGGCTGCTGTGGCAAAGCAGATTCGATCACTTTGCTGATCAACCACATGTTCGTGAGGAAGTTGGGGCGCTGTCAAAAGAGGCTTCTATCGCAATTGGAGAATTTATGATCGAGTAAGTAGCTTTATTCTTACTAGTACTAGACCATGATTGAATGGAGCTTGTTGGCTTGCATAACTGTGAGCAGAAAGCGCGTTCATGGTTTGGGCGGATACAAGTCGAAATGCCGTCTCCAGGGGCAAGATATGCTAATCCTGACTTGGATGCCGAGACAAGCGTTATGAGCCGCCCCGCTCCGCGGCGCTGAACAACTCCCTTCTCCACTCCACGTGCCCAACAAATGCATGCGACGATGTCAACCCTAGTGACTTTGCCAGCTGATGTACAGCTTCTGATACTGGATTATGTAGGTGCAGCTACTAGCTAAGTGTTTCTGTACTGAACCACGCAGATCCGGTTGCCTTCACACCTGAAAGCCATATGTCTAGCCTCAAGAGCGTGGAACGACCTAGCTAGGCCTTTACTATACAGGAAGGTTACAATCAATGTGTTTGATAAAGATGAGGTGGTGCGATTCGAACGCTGCATGGACGCAGGTGCTCAAGCGCATCTTGATGCGATCAGGTCTTTGACGCTGATGGACAGTCTACCACCACCAGAAGCTCCAGAATTCCAGGTCCGAGCACATCAACACTTCAACAAGGCAGAAAAGCTGAGGCCAGTGGAGATCAGTCAGATAAGAGCAGTCTTAGCTTACTTCCCGGCCAATCGTTTGCACACTTTCCGGTGCGTTACCTCACTTCTGTAATACCCGGGTGGCATAAGCGCCAGACCTGTGAGATTACATGATATGCTTCTGCCACGAAACAACGAATTCTCCAGCATAGATCTTGCTGAATTGTTGCAGGTTCCTCTCGACACTATCCTTTCATGCGGAGACCGCGCATGATCTCTTCCGTCGTCAGGCGGTCACACTGAAACATGTTCATCTTAGGCTCGACGACTTTACTCTGTTGAACTCCCTTCAATTTGTAAAAACGGCAGACCTCTGGCTTCCTTACGTGTACGCCGACTGGGTAAAGTTTGATGAGGAGAGGTTGATGACTTTCTTCTCACAAATCAGCTCGTACAAGCAAATGGAAAGATTGCACATTGGCACAGAATCTGGGCAGGAGGGAAAAACTTATGATCGTAGTCTTGGTGATAGCCTTGCCAAGGCGTTTTCATGCCGAAGCAATCATTCTGGTCCCCTAGAGAACCTTCGACAACTTACACTGTCCGGAGTTGCCCTTAGCGAGTCTCTCTATGAGGGGATCAGCAAGATCATGTCATTCTCACAGCTTACACACTTAACTCTCTGGGGATCTCCTTACGCCGTGAAGTTCGCTTGCGCTCTGGCACATGGGCTTGGTAGCCACAAGTTACAATTAAAACATCTAGGTCTCTATATACATAACAACGACATCAACTTAGAGGACTTTGATACGTTACTATATTCCTGTACCGAGTTAAAAAGTCTGTGCTTGGAGTGGGATTGCTGGAATCGGCGGTCATTCGAGTCCCTCATGGCATGTCTACGGAATGTTGGACAGCAACTCATCCTTTTGTCCATACACAACGCCGAGGACCGTAACGTTGGTTGCGGCGACACCGTTGTTATGCAAGGAACGTTGGAGAAGATTTGTCTGGCATGTCCCAACCTAGAGCAATTTGGGTATAGAATCACAGAAAAATCTTTGATGTCACGTGATGATTTTCATAGTTCCCTGGTAAGACTACCCCTTGCTCGAGTACAAGTTATATCTTTAACGTGAAGTAGTTACCCATACACAAGCTATCTAAGTTACGCACCCTCCATCTCCGTCAAGCTTTTCTCTACGACTGCAGCGTTCTGGCTTATTTTGACAACCTGACTCACTGTTTGGCGAGGGAGTTCTTCGCGGATCTGAAACAACAGTCTAGGTGTCCGTCGCTGGATACACTCATAATCGGGCAAGAACGACAGATCAGAAGAGGAGATGTGCGTAGCCACAGTGATCCACGATGTGTGAAAATCGATGAGCACGAGCCTGCGCGTTGCTTCCGCTCCAGACGCCTGATGTGCAACAATGAGACCAAGTGCAGCACGCTCTACCTCATATCCTTAGCCGAGTTTCGAGCGACTAGTGATTACGCAGAGATTCTCGACTGGCAAACTGCGTATGAACCTTTCTCCGACTGGATGTGGCGACTGCCCGGCAGGTTCAACGACGATTGACGATCATCGGATCAGGATTGGGTGGATGATGGGGAAATCTGTCTCAATTCAGGTCGTGTTTGGAACGGGATATGATGTGAAGTGAGCAGTAGCTCTAATAACATAGTTTCCCTGTTATAGCAACTATGCAAGTGTTGAGTGGTGCTGTCTTTTAGACATGGTAGAATTGTGGCAGCTCCGGGTGTATTTAACCAGAGGTCTTGGATGCAATATAGTACTGTCATTCTTAACAGGCTCTAATATCCCCACAAAAGTGCTTCATTAGGCAACAAGTTGGAAAGGATGGTGTTCGAGAGCTGAGATCAGTTCGCCACCTCAATCATGGTCAATAGTCGTAGTAAAGACAAAAGATAAAATGCTTCATTGCAAACAAAAAACACCAAGCTATGCGTACAACCACATCCCAGCCATCGCGACTCAAATGCTAAGCAAACCCAAATGCAATCGGCATTACTCCCGCCCATGCATCTCTATCCCTCTAGCTCCGTCATTGATTTGTAACACTCGCTTAAGCCTGAGCGGCCTCCAAGAGCTTCATGTGCTGCTCAGGGTGAGTCTTCTCAACGTTGCTCTTAGCAACCTTCTTCATCATAAAGTTGGCGTCGATGTCAATCTCCTCACTGAGCTTGCCGTCGGCAACGCGCCACTTGCCGCTGATAGTGAGGACACCGACTGGGGGCTTAGCGTTGACAAGAGAGTCGACACCCTCGGGGACGTTGGTGAGAGTCAACTTGTAGGTAGTCTGCGATATGTTAGTGTCTTGTTTGTAGCAGAAGGGAGGCAGGAATTGGAAAGTCGTACCTGGCCAATGGGCTTCTTGTCGGTGACAGTGTAGGTAGCTGAAGTAGCCTTGTCGCCGGATTCAAAGGCGTAGCTGACAAGCGCTGGGCAGAGCGTCTTGATCATGAGGTCGTGGTTGTGGAGAGCGGAGATGACGATAGCGGCATCGACACCGTTGAGGGGAGTGGAGATCTGGGAAGTAGGCATTTTGAGATATTTGTTGTTGGGTGAGAAAATGGGTAGAGGATTAAAGGAACTGGCCGGCAGTAATGGTGAATAGAGTAGTTGTTGAGAGTGCTGTAGAGTAGATGAGAGAAGTAGAAGCTGTTGGATGATGATTTTGCTTTTGCGATGGAAGCAGTAGAATATATATCTTCTAACTTACCGGTCTTACTCGCGTATTCGAGTACCCAGGGCCTTTACTCTAAACTCTCAATGACCCTGATCCGTTGTCCAAAACGTCAAGACACAGTCAAGATGCACGTCTTACACCCCTGACACGGCATGGCGTCCTCACTATACCGGTACCTACCCCAGTATTCCAGACGTTGGTACGACTGCGCATGCATGCGTTTGTACCACGCCGACGATCATCCGTTCGCCCAAAAAACGAGAATAGTACCTATCGAAACGCATCGTTTCTGTTTCCGACCAACGGGATAGGCAATGTCTGTGCGTTGGCGCGCTGGGTTGGGTATGGTGATGTGGGACGATCACCTCATTAGCCGAGAGAAGGTCTACAGGGTTGAGTTGTGGAGTTTGAAGTGAAGTTTGAACAACTCAGGGTCTGGCACGTTTGAAGGGATCGATGACAGAGCTGGAAATAGCTCTTGCGGGCAATTCGGAAACATTCTTCGAGTCGCGTAGTTCCAAACAGAATTGTGTGCGTGACTACTGTTTACCTGCGACGTCAGGCGCTTTCTGGAACGAGTCTGCCGGCCGCTCGTTTTTTCAGCTTTTGACCTGCGTAAGGCGTCTGCAATGTTGCTCATCGATGCTGTCGATCAATGTATAATGCTTACACGCAGATAACGAAGCGAATCCATATTCTCCGGATCTCCAAAGCTCGGTCGCTATTCCCAACTGCAGTAATTGGGTGCTGGTCAAGAGCTGTGTCGGAATGTTTCGCTGGTGGGGCGGGAGAAGCGACGGGCGCCGCGGGTTGGGGAGCCGGAGTTCTTTAGCGCGAATCACAAGTCAGCGCGCCATGGATCGTTACGGTGGCCTCGTCTATTTTTGACCAGTTCACGCGTCGTTCGTGAAGATTGATAGGTAAGTGTTTGACCGGTGTAGCTATCTTCGCGTTTGTCGCGTTTCATTGCGCGTTGAAAGTGCCGAGGTTTTCCCGTACAGTAAGTGAGGCCGTATTCAACGGAACGCGGCTTTTCCAGAGCTCCGTGCACTAAAGCACAAATCCAGTGACCGTCGTAACGGAAACTTCTCAGGTCAGCATCCTTTGGGCGGCATTCGTTCTTGTTTCCAACGTCGTACTGTGCCAACATGGTATTGGAGGCTTTTGTCCAAGATGCACGCGATAACAACTAGAACACAAAACTCACAGGTGCCAAGATCTTAAGACAAAATCGTTCTTCCACATTTGAGCAGGACACAAGTACAACACCTAGCTATGATCAACATCGCCTTGAAGAGTGTCTCTTCGTACCAATCATACATTCGTAAACATCTTTCCTTCGAGCCTGTGTCTATAGCTTGGACTCCTTTGTGCTGGCTACTCCCTCCGCCCTTCCACCCGCAAAATTCACACCCTCGCTCGGCTCCAACGTCCCACTCTTGTTTATCAGCTGCAATTTCCTCAACCTACTTATCGGCTCATCATCATCCTTTTCCCTAACATAAAACGCCCAGTCAGCCGTGGGGTCAATCTCCGTCTGACTATAACCATTGCCCAACCACGAAAACCTGTTACCAGTGTATTTCACATCCCAGTCCTCCAGCCTGAGCTCCATGAGGGCTTCGATGTAGTGAAGTGTAGAGCCAGGCCAGAGTGCCGTAACGGGGCCATCTGGGCCGAGAGACTTGTACCACGAGCGACAGGCGTCATGCCAGACAGTGCGCTTCATGTACTCGTCTTTGAAAGCTACAAAGTCATCAATGGCTTCTGCTTTAGGTGCAAAAGTAGAGATGTTGTGTGTTTGGAAGCGATCAATGAGCTTGCACATGTAATCTGCCTGCGCCTCAATAGCGCTTAGAACGGGGCCATTGCCGATGGGACAATTGGGTCCTAGGAAAATGAGGTAATTTGGGAAGTCAGCGGCCGCGAGACCAAAGTAGGAGCGTGGTTCTTTGACCCACACGTCCTGGAGGTTGGTGCCAGAGGAGTTTATCACAGGGAAACGAGGCTTGAAGGAGGTGTTGAAGCCTGTGGCGCAGATGAGTACGTCGACGGGGTATTCGTTGCCGTCGTCGCACACACAGCCGCGCTCGGTGATGGAGTTTATCTCGCCGTAGACGGTTTGTACGTTGGGTTTTCCTAGGGCTTCGAGGTAGCCGACGCCTGGTGTTAATCGTCGGCATCCGACATGCCAGTTCGGGATCAAGCGCTCTTGTAGGTACTCGTTGTTTAGTTTTTCGGTCATCTGCTTGCGGAAGTAGGCTTCTGTGTCGGAGTTGACGTTTGTATTCTTGAGAAAGATGCCGAATTGGCCGTTTAGGCCGCGCTCAATGTGCTTGCGATATTCGACTAATGCGCCAGGCTTGGTGGCGAACTCGAGTCTTTCACTATCGGAGAAGACGTGTTGTTCGAGACCTTGCACGGGTGAGACCCATGTGGGCTCGCGGATGAAGGTTGTGACTTTCTTAACATGTGGTTGGATGGTGGGGAGGACTTGAATACCAGAGGAACTGATGGAGTTAGTTGCTGAGCTAGGGAACCATACGTAAGGCACTTACCCGTTTCCAATCAAGCCAACATGGCGGCCTTTAAGGTCAACGTTGTCGTCCCAATTTGCGGTATGTAGTAGTGTGCCCTTGTACTTGTCCAGACCCGGTATGGCGGGCCATTGCCAGTTGTTCAGAATACCCGACGCGTTTACCAAGATGTCGCAATGGTCATTGACGATCTGATTGCTCTCTAGGTCTTTAACCTGCACATCATAGCCTCCTCTCTGCTTGTTCCATGTTGCGCCAACAACCTGGTGTTGTGTCTTGATGTATTTGCGGAGACCGTACTTGCGCGCGAAATCGTTGAAGTAGGCAAAGATCTCTTTCGAGCCGGCGTATACCGCGGACCAATCTAATTTCGGCTCGAATGACCAAGTGTAGTTATGCGAAGGAACGTCGCACGCGCATCTTGAATCGAGATGTTAGCAAGGTTCTGCTAACTGCGCCGCTTTGCTGCAGCCGGTTCGGTAAATCATGGGGCGAAGGATGCATGATCCCCCGCAACAACCATTCGGATCTGCACTTACCCCGGATATCTATTCTCGTACCAAGTCCCCGAAACCTCGGCGTTCTTCTCATATACTTGGAGACTATAATTTGAGAAGTGCTTTTGTAGTTTGTATGCCATCAAAAGTCCAGAAGCACCTGCACCGATACAGACGACGCGCACATGGCGTTGCGCGTGAATTGGACCCCGTAACCGATGCTGAGCATCAGTCTCTGGCGCAGCCGTGGATGGAACGATGAAGCCGTCCGCCATTGTCAATAGTGTACAACTAGCGAGAAGATGAAGAAAAGCAGAGTTGAAGCTGAGCAGTGAGTGGAAACTGTTGCCGCTACGAGGGCTCTTAACCTCTTAAACTTTGCTCCGGTGTGTTTGCACCGCAAATCCCCATGCTTCAAGAGTCAGGTCCTAGCTCAATGACTCCACATAGCGAGTCAATTTAATGAATGCCTGAATCTGGGGTTACGCGAATAAAGTGAATGCATGATTAGAACATCGAACGATGGTGACGATTCGTGATGTGGGCTAACGATCCCAATGGCTACTCATGAGTTTTATCTGGCAAAGCATTTCCGAGGGTTGCACAGACAACAATGCCGGGACACCCAAGTCGCGCAATGATGAATGATCTGTCAGACGACCCATCAGCCAATCGAAGAGGCGTTCGGAGTAGCCAGATCTTTCTCGGATATGGAAGTGGCGTCTTCCTTCTTTGCGGGGATTAGGTGGAGAACTGGGGTGGAGAACCTCTGCCGAGGTGCGACCGACCACGCAAAGCACAATTGCGTCGAAGGTCAAGTTTGACAAGAGGACTACGTGTTTTAGGACACGTGTGAGACGGATGTTGATAATTCAGGTCTTGGGCTAGTACGATGCTCTAGACGATTGTGTATCCTCCGTCCGCGACTAATGTGGCGCCAATCATGTAACTTGCCGCTTGGGAATGTAGGAATGCAATACAGTCGCCGATTTCCTCCATCTCCGAGTAGCGGTGAACAGGGACTTTTTTCCTCTCTGTTTCCATCATGTCGCCCTGACTCATGTGCTCCTTCACTAGGGGTGTCATCACATAACCTGGGGAGATCGCGTTGATTCTGATACCCTTGTGTGCGAAAGCGAGTGCATCTGACTTCGTGAGGCCAATGACAGCATGCTTGGACGTAGCATATGCGGTGGCAGGCACATTGAGTGGCGGTGCAACCAGGCCGTACATCGATGCGACGTTGACGATAGAGCCCCGGTATGATCGATAGGAGTCCGAAAGCTTCTCTTGCTTGAGCATCTGGCGGATCTGCGCACGCTGACATTGCCATACGGCGATGGTATTGACAGCCATGACTTTCTCGAAGTCGTCTTTAGGTATTTGATCTGTCGTTTTGATCATTCCACCTATGCCAGCATTGTTGACCGCGTAATCCAGCCGTCCAAATTCCTTTACCGTTTTCTCTATACTGTCATCAACGGCTTTCTCATCAGTGACGTCGATTTCGAACGTTTTGACAGAGACATCTGGTGAGATCTTATTCAGTTCGCTGACGGTCTTGGTGATGGGATTGCGATCCAGCAAGGCGAATGAGCGCACGCCTTGCTTTGCAAGAGCATATGCAGTGTACTGGCCGATACCTTAAACATGTCAGCTCATTGGTCGGATATGCTACACAGCTTGACCAGACATACCAGATCCAGCACCCGTGATATATGCTACACCCTTTAGTACGAAAGACATGTTTCCTTGCTCAGCGTGTACTCTGCAAGCTGTACTGAGCTATCAATTGTCAGGTCCACGGAATGTCAATGGTACGCACTGCTGTCACCACTCTTGATGTTAGCCTGATGTTACGAGTCAAGACGCTGTCAGCCTTAGAGAGCACCTTCAACATGCACTGTCGATGATTTCCTGCAAGCCTGCTGCTGTCAGAGATGCTTGTATGCGGGGTTGAGCTCAATGTCGGCTGCGGTTTTCCTGGTGATAACAACAACAAGCGAGTCATGTCGGCTCTACTCCACGCACGCCTGTCAAGTTACACCTAGGATATGATCGGACGATGGAGAAGATGCGAACGTGTGCCGTTTATCAACAAAGTGTTTACGTGAACTTGACAGCGCGCATGGACTTGTGAGGCACGGCAGGCCGCTGCATGTTCGATTGGTCGTTTTTGGACACGGAAAATATGCCCGTTTTGACAGGGGAATGACAATGAAAAGCTGTTGTGGCTTTCGCTAGAGGTGGCAGCAATAGCCTAGTCGTCGGAATACTTTGTTTTGATGCACGTCATCCGGGCACGTGTTTGCGTGTCTTAGCGCGGTTCCAGGCTTCAGGGAATATTCGCCACCACGTACGTTTCTCCCCCTGCAGCCACCCGCACCCCTCACCGCCATGCGCGTTGTATCATGGCCCCAACTCCTCATCGAATCGCACAAACATCTACCGAGCTCAAAAAACTGGCCAAGAAAAATGGCCCCCGTCTTAACGAGCGGCAGCAGAAGCAGCTCGACCGCGAGGCCGAATTAGAACAGCGCGCCGCCCGCGCCCGCAAAGCCGAGGATAGTCGCAAAGCAGCCAAGAAGAAGCGCGAAGAAAAAGAGGCGAAGGAGGCAAGAGCAAGGCAACAAATTGGTGTTGGACTAGCGACTCAGCTTGCTGGATATAGCCATACGCAGGCGCAGTTGAAGAATGGCATGGAAGCATTCCTAGGACTGAGCAGGAAGAAGGAAGAGGAGAAGCGTAAAAAGAACTTGGAACTCACCAAGAAGCTAGAAGAGATTGCGGAACAGATGGAGAAGGAGCCATGGGATGACGACGATGAGGAAGACACGGTAGTTGATTTGCCGGAGACGACTGCATCCTCCGGACAGCAGTGGGCCGATGATGACTTAGACGACGACACACTTCTCGAAGCACATGATATGGTCATGTCAGACCCGGTAGAGGAGCTACAGCCTGTTGTCCGGCCTCCCGAGTCTGTTGCTCCTATCGCGCCTGCTCCGCCCGCTATCGCACAACCCCTTGTACCTGTTCACCCTATCGCCCTCGCTCCGCTCGCCGCACCAAGTCCCCCGCCGCAGCCAATTTCTGCACGGGATGATCGCGAATTCGCACGTACTCACGGACCCATAAACAAAGCGGTCGAGGCTGCCTTGGACAAACTGCCCGAGCCTCTGATTGAACTGCTGTCACAAGATCTTTCGCTCAAAACACCAGACTGGGATCCTTCACTAGGGCTACTGCACAAGCTGAATCCAGTAGGGCTACCACCACATCGTCTGCGCGTCAAGATCGGCTGCACTGTAACAGTGCTTCGGGATCTTCACACAAGCAGCCAGTTGTCCAAGAGCCAGCACCTGAGAGTCTTACGATGTGAGAACGATCGATTAGAATGCTTGGTGTTAGATGGACAGCTACAGGGAACTAAGACCTTCCTGACGCGGGTTCCATTTATCGCAAAGTACAAGAATCTGGACCAGCATCCTTTTCAACGCACACAGTTTCCCATACGTGTGGCCATCGACTATACACCATCCGGCGTGCCACGGGATACATCAAGATCCGGGTTTAGGCTCCCTTCGATACCTGGACGTATGCCACCTCCCAGCTTGGCGAGAAAACCGACTCCACCTGCTGTCAAAGCAAAGCCTACCACAAACCAAAATCCAGGCTTCAAGCTCCCTGGAGTTCCAGCATCGAAGTCCAGCTCGTTTACTGCGGTCGAACCCACGTCCGTTTTAAAAAAGACTTCGTCAGTACCATTGCCACCGACCGACTGCTGGGATGATTTCTTTGAAAGTAGTACCCAGGTTTCGCGGGAGCTTGCTTCAGAAGCAACACCCACAGTCAAAGAGCCACCGAAGCCTTCAACGATTACTTTGCCTTCGGTAGTTGATGACATTCCTCCTATATCGACCCAAGACTTCGACTTCTCTCTCGACGATCTTGACGAAGAGCCGCGGAAAGAGGGGGAGAAATGTAAAGTTGCTCCTGTCACGCACGTTGCGCCTAGCAAAGTTTCTGTGCCACTGCAGGCGAATTCAGGAAACCCTCGGCCCGCACAAAGACCAATGTCTTTGCCGCTTCCCTCTGAGCTAGCAAAGCCCTCGGTCAACCCCACCTCTAAGCCGGTAAAGCCGTTGACCGGCCCTGTAAGAACTGATGCCGCTGTTACGCAGAAAGAATCCACGCCACGGGCTTCTGCGAACTCAAGCAGGCCATTGGCTACTTCGAGACCCCCTAAGAAGATAGCTGGGAAGTGCCTGAACCCAGGTCCCTTTGCTTATGGAAACCTCCAGGAACAACTCGCGAAACTGAGGGCGTCTCAGCTACCAAAGTCCATGACTGGCCCTTATGCGAAGAGAAAAGCTACAACAACGCCATCCGGACAATCTGCTTCTCCTCCAGCCAAGAAGCAATGCGCGCCGACACCGACACCGCCTTCGAAACTATCTGCTGCGGCGCCGAGGACGAGCCAGTGTTTCGAAGACTTTGCTATGTCGACGCAGGAAGTGGCTTCTTTCTTTGATGACGATGACGATAACATGAGTTTTAGGTCATCACCACCTATTGCAGTATGAGTAATGAGTATTGAATAATATATGATGATGGATACATGGTCACGGGATTGGGGACTACGGATTGGAAATGATACCCTTCTTTTTGGTCTGTTTTTTGTATAGATGAATGTCACGACCAACAACTCTCAATTGACGTCTTGAGTTCACTCATTGAAGTTTCTCGCCCCCAAAGCTATCGCAATCATATCGCACATGGAAGTACAGCATCAACCGGCAAGAGCGCTTACTCTGCTTTGTTGTGTTCCTATAATCCCGGTTAGCGGCTCGGCGCTCCACTGCAACTTGGACCCTTTGATCTAATCTCCTCTCACTTTTCCACATCTGGCCACTAACGCACCAATTATAGATGCGGTGTACTCTCGACCCTACAGCACATGCCGATTGAGAGCAAGATGATCGCTGTAGTCTCCCGCCCTCAGCTCCGCTATAACGGCGGCATGCTTGTCAGACGGCCAATCACCTTCCAGCAGTAACTCTTTCTGACTAAAATCGCGTGTTTCATACAGCGCCAAGGGCGCAGGCAACGATGGGGGCCAAAAGCACAAGGTTGCATGCTCAGCCTTATTTCGTGGTCGGTGGCCTCGCGAGGCGCACCTGCTAAAAGTTCACAAACAACGTTTTTTCGAGTGGCTCACCACAATTTCCTTTCCATAATCCATGGGAAAATGAGTCATCGAGTGGATGGTCCGGAGTGGCGCTCATTCGTGTTTCACGAGGTGCCACAACTTCGCTCCGATTTCGATCCAGTGATCCAGCCAGGACAAGAAAGGGCGGCGAACCGACTACTGGGAAGAGATGGGCAAGAACAGAACACTGACGAACGGACTCGAGCCAGCGCGTCTCAACACCAATTCCATCCCAACGACAGCTTCGTCTATTCGGATGACGGGCAGTCACGTTCTCTGCCACCCGATGAGACTACCAATAAGCATTTGGCACAAGTAGGCGCCCATAGTGTCCCTTTCTCAGAAAATGCCAAAGAACCCGTATACTGGAAAGGAAATACGCCATGGGCTTTAACTTGGGAATTTCTTGGAATAGTCGTTTCGATATGCTTTCTTAGTAGGTCTTGTGTCCGATACGTACGAAGTATAGCTAACGTGCGGTTAGTACTTGGCGCATTCGTTGTGCACCTAAAAGATCAACAGGAAAGTCCTTGGTCAATCAAAGTACTCCAGGCTACACGAATCGCACCAACCTTATGGCCGATTTTCTTTTCTGGTGTATTGGGAAATGCGATTCGTGCACTTGCCGACTGGCGCGTTGAACGTGGAATCGACCTACTGGTACGAAATGAATCATATATCATGCGTGGCCTGACTGATCGATGATATACAGGCTTTGGAACAGCTAATGGGCTCTTTAACGGTTAGTGTGAAGCGTACAATTTTTCAATCTGACTGGTGCTAATGCTCATACAATAGCTTGCTGGTTCCGTCATTACTGTTTTTAAATGGTCAATTCTGAGAATCTCAAGTATAGTTCTACTACTACTATGGGCTTTCAACCCTCTCGGGTCTCAATCCTCGTTTCGGGGTATTTACTTGAGAGACCGAGAGGGATCTAGACCGGGGAATATCGCCTACTACAACTACAATCTCAGCTCACAGGTACAGTTGAACTCGATCTTCGACACCCAAACACGCGTCAGGCCCAGACTTCGCGCTCTATATTCCTCAGCTCTTTACGACGTCGCATCCGCCACTCAGTATGTCGACAAGACGAACAAAACGTACCAAGATATTGTTATCACGCTTGGAGGAGAAAGCTCAGCTGGGGTGCAAGCAGCTACTGATCTGTGGGGCAACATACGGATGCCTAACCTACACACTCTTCCCGAATTTGATGCGAATGAGCCACATCGTTGGGTAAATGTGCCCTGGCAGGATTCAGTACACAACTACTCCAGTCTTGTCGGCGAACATTTTGCTGGCCTGGAGCGAAATTTCACTGGCAACACAACGTTCAATACAACCGCAAGCTATCTAACGTTCTTAGTAAGAGACGCTTCTCTCCCCCTTTTTTATTGCCCTCAATCTAACAGATTCCAGTGCTCTCCTTGGTTTGATATCAACGGCATGAAAGAGTCAAATGAATGGGTCTTTAACAAGTTTCAGAAAAACATGTCCGAGCTGATGAACCCCCGTAGAACAGGAGGCA